GGGGGGGGGGATGTTAACAGTATACATCGATTGGCGCATAAGCTCCCCAAACAGAGTAAAACAGCCGATATGAAGATTCTTGATGGCTGCCTCAAAGGCGATGTGAACAAAATGAACATTGTGTGCGTAGTCTATGACTCAATGGGATATTCTTTAATTAAGCCGCGCCGCCCTTGTAATCAAGGGCGTCAATCCATCCCAAAAAGTGTGTGGGGGGGGGGGACGGACTCCAAATTAGGAGGGTCCGGAGATATGCTACCCGAAATTTTCCCCCATATTGGTACACTGAAATGGCATTTCCAGCGTTTTGGAGGCACTTGTAAAGTTATAGTACAATGTGCATGATCTTAAATCCATTTTTAACTATGTGTGAAATCCGCTAAAAACAAGGTTGTGCAACAGTGCAAGTGTGATAAAGCACGTCAAAGTTGTTAATTGGAGCGAGAAACTACAAAATGTGGACTTAATATTTTACTATGGTAAAATAAAACCATCTAGTCTGAATCTTAATTTAGTCGTTAAAAGGTAGTAAATTACGATTATGTCCATTACTCATTAGCTCAATAATTGATATATAATAGTTTACAGGTGATCTACAGTCCGATCTGCGCATGTGCACAAATGAGCCCACTTTTTATGATACAAACAGTTTAACTATGTTTTGAGTTCTTGAAAAGCCTAATTGTTGTTTCTTGATCATTTATTATACTCTAGAAGCTTGAAAATATAAATAGTTGTCGAATAAAGCTCAATATTTTGGACACAAAAATGTAAACAAAGGCTTTGTTTACATACGGACTGTAGATCACCTTTAAAATATATTATCACCTTCTTTACTGCCAAATATACTTATATAGTATATATACTTTTATCCTTGTTCAAGATAATAATTCGAACTGACTCAGTGGCGTAACGTTATATTAGGGGCCCCCGGTTCAAAATTTTCGAAGGCCACGGCCCCTAGTAGAAGTGCCAAAGGCACGAGTTAAGCGCCGTATGTGCAGACTCACCCGGGAAATTTTTGAATCTAGAGTCTCCGAAATGCCATTTCCTGGACTTTGGGGGGGGGGGGGAAAGATTTTGCAGAATTCTGATGGTCAGAAAATAACATTGTAACATATCAGAGGTCTCTTTGGCCAATGTTTTTGCTCTACAGCCTAGGCCTACATGGGGGCCCCCGTTCGGCTTATTGGGGTTGCCCCCCCCCCCCACGGTCTGAACCCATAGGAGTTACGCCACTGAACTGATCGACTAAATATAAGAATGAAATAATGTAAGGGGTCTTAATTAAAAAGCTTATTAGGTTTCTAGAAGGCCTCTAGCCTATCCAAAATAGAAAAACAAAATGTAAATATTAAACTTCTAAATACTTTTTACGGGCGTAATAATAAAAAACAAAAACAAGCATATAACGCGGAATTATTTTCTCATTCAGTGCAGCTTGCTAGTTAGAACAGGAAGTGAATACGACAAATTGTGCCTTTATGTAAATGTTTATAAAATTACAACACATGTACAAATTTGAATTCAATTTGAATATTTTTAGTATTCATATAACATATGCGATACATGTCAGTATTTGCTCCCAGCGGCTACAGAAAGGTCATACATTGTACTTCACCTTATTATTTGTCTTCGTTCCAATCACAACTCTGGACGAATAGCATACCAGGGATTAAGTTTTCAGATTCGCAAGAAACAAAATCAAAATTTCATTAAACATGTTAAAAAGTGTGGGGGGGGGGGATAATTAGATATTCGTCCCTCCACTCCAAAAGCTGGGGGGACACGTTCCCCCCCCCATTCCCCCAGGATTGACGCCCATGCTTGTAATAATTTTCAGACGGGGACTAAGCTGCCCTAAAAATAGATTAAGTGTTAAATTGCTGGTAATTTCCATAGAAATAATAGACACATAATGGTCTAATATTTCTATGGTAATTTCCCACCATGAGTCATCCAAACCACAAAATCAATTATGAGGCAAGTTAATTTGCAGCATTTTTAGTGTTCCAGAAAATGCTGGAAATGGCATTTCCGAATTTTTCATTTTCTCCGGAGAAGCATGTCCCTCCTAATTTTAAATATCTTCCTACGCTGCTGCATTGAAAGTTGGATCAGGTTTTGCTTGTTGTGTTTCAGCACTCAGATGAAAACTATGATACCCAACTTAGCCGAAAATAAAACCTGTTCCGCCGAGATTTCTTCGGAGGAGGCTATACGATTATATATATTTTGAATTAGGGAGGACAATTTTTCGTTTTCAGATTATGCGGCGTTTCGGGAAGCAGTATATAGTAAGGAGGTGCTTCATTCCACGCTCCTCCACAGAAGCTTGTCATATTAGGCTACGTTTACACTATACGGTTATTACCGGATAGCCTTCCGTAGCGGCGAGAAAAAGCATCTATATCCGATACGGAATGTACAACTTTCAGAAGCTGAGCGAAACAACACCTCTCCGTTGCAATAATTCCTGTGAAAATAGAGTTCCTAAAAGGCTAAAAGGTACTGGTAAGTGTTTTTTCACGTTGCGGAAAGCGGCCTTTAAGCCAGTTTTCCACTTGAACCGTATCGTAACGTATCGTAGCATTCTCTTTTCGTTACGATTGAAGTCTAATAATATATTTTCTGATTTAGATTGTTCTAAAGGCCTAAAAATGGCAAATTTAAATATTAATAGTCTTTTAAAAAGTATCGACCAGCTCCGTATCATTATGCAAAATAGCTCTATTGACATTCTGGCGATTAATGAAACAAAAATTGACCATTCAGTGTCTGATGATGAAATTAGCATACCTGGATATTATCATATCCGTAAAGATAGAAATAGGTATGGTGGGGGAGTGTTATTATATGTGCGAGAATCTTTACCATTTTCTGAACGAAATGACTTATTAATATCTGATTCGTTAGAAATGCTATGCATTGAAATTACGAAACCACATAATAAGTCATTTCTAATAGTTACATGGTATAGACCGCCAAATTCTGAGGTTAGTCTCTTTAATGAATACGAGACTTTTCTTAGAAAATGCGACTTGGAAAATATTGAAGTAATAATAATGGGGGATCTGAATTGTGATACCATAAAATGTCCTCTCGAAGCTCACACACGCAGACTACAATTTCTATCCTCACTTTACCAGTATAGACAACTTATTAATGAACCTACAAGGGTAACAAGAACATCAGCAACCTTAATAGACTTGATATTGACAAACAAAGAGGAAAATATTTCGAAATCTGGTGTTATTCATCTTGGAATATCTGATCATAGTTTGGTTTTTGCCGTTAAAAAATATTGTGTCACTAAATCTCGGCAAAAGACAAGATATGTTCGCAATTTCAAAAGATTCAATGCCAATAACTTTCTTAATGATCTTTCCCAGATGCCCTGGGAAAATGTGGCGCTTTATGATAACCCAAATGTTTGTTGGCGGGTATGGAGATCCCTTTTCCTACACGTCCTTGATTGGCATGCGCCCCTAAGACTGATGAGACTTAGAGGAAATTCTATTCCTTGGATTTCCCCTGATATCAAAAATCTGATGAGGGTTAGGGACTCTTACAAGAAAATGGCTGTTAAAAATAATTCCCAGATTCACTGGGAGAAATTTGAAGAAATACGTAACAAAGTCAATTCAGAACTAACTAAAGCTAAAACAGCATTTTTCTGTAACAAATTTGAGAACTGCGCACAATCGAAAGATATGAAACATAGTTGGAAGTTAATTAATATTCTCTTAGGTAAAAACAAAAAATCAAATAATATCTCTCAACTTAAATGTGATGATGTTGTGATTTCAGATGATACTCTGAAAGCTGAGGCGTTTAATGACTTCTTTGTTAACATCGGGGTAAATTTGGCTAATGAAATTGAGAACGATTCTCTATGTACGAACATTCCAGATGATGAAAATTACCACTCTAACTATTACTCTAATATAAATTGTAAGTTTTCTGAAATTAGTATGGATGATATTATTTGTCAATTACGTAATCTTAAAATTTCAAAGTCTACCGGTATTGATAACATCCCTGCTATAGCTCTTAAATTGTCCGCGGAAGTTATTGGTCCTTCATTAACATGGATTTATAATCTTTCAATCAAAACTGGGATATATGTTGATGAATGGAAAAAGGCGTGGGTAATGCCAATTTTTAAATCTGATGATAGACAAAGATGTGAAAATTACCGACCGATATCTATATTGCCTATTGTCAGTAAAATACTAGAGAGATCGGTTTTCAACCAAATTTATAAGTTTTTGAATGATAATTCGCTGCTATCTAAACATCAATCTGGCTTTCGGCCTAAGCATTCAACTTTAACAACACTCATTCAAATGTGTGACACACTTTATGAGAACATGGATAATGGTCAGTTGAGTGGTGTTGTTTTCCTTGATATTAGAAAAGCTTTTGATTCTATTGATCATACAATCTTATTACAAAAGATGAATGATCAATTTGGAATAAAAAATGTGGAACTGGATTGGTTTAAGTCCTATCTAACTAATAGAGAGCAAGCATGCATTGTCAACGGTACCGGTGCAATGTCATCACCTAAAACGATTGTGTGCGGAGTTCCGCAGGGATCAATTCTTGGTCCCTTGCTGTTTTTATTATATATTAATGATTTACCCGAATGCCTCGAAAAAACTTCGCCACACCTATACGCTGATGATACTCAAATTTCTACTTCTGCCAAAACTATTGAGGAACTTACTGAAAATCTAAATAATGACCTGAAAAAAGTCGGTGAGTGGCTTGCTCGAAATAAACTGCAACAGCACCCAACTAAGACCAAATTAATGTATATCGGTTCAAAGTATAATACTGATACTATGACTTATGATATTCCAGTAATGATGAATAACCAATTCATAACTCTTGCTCATTCATACACATGCCTTGGGGTTAAACTTGATGAAAACCTTAATTGGCATGAGCATGTTGAAATGATTTGTAAGAAAGTTGGGGCCGGCATAGGAGCAATGCAACGAATTAAGCCATATGTTCCTATAAATACCCTGCATACCATTTACAAAGCTTTGATAGAACCGTATTTTGATTATTGTAGTCCATTATGGGACGTCTGTAACCAACAGCTGAAAGATAAGCTTCAAAAGTTCCAAAACCGTGCAGCAAGAATTATAACCGGCGCCAGCTATGAAATAAGGTCTGCTGATGTTCTTCGATCCCTTGCTTGGGAAAATTTAGAGATAAGACAACGTACAACTAAATCCACATTAATGTATAAAGTCCTGAATGATTGCGCTGGGCCGAACTTGAAGGATGCTCTAACGAGAAGGGACCTTGTTCAAACCAGTTATAATCTTCGCAATACTTATACTGACCTTACCCTTGCTAAGCCAAAACGAGAATTTCTAAAAAAAAGCTTTAAGTATAGCGGAGCTAAATTGTGGAATAGTCTTCCTTCTGATGCGAAGCTAGCGCAATCAATTTATTCTTTTAAAAACTGCCTGAAAGTTTCACGCTAACATCTTCTAATATACTGTATATGCATGCTTTAGAAATATGGGTCACACCGTTTGGAACTTAATTCTTGTATTGTAAATAGTTGTATATAATTCTTTATTCTTTTCTATATCATATTTATAATTTTTAATAGTAACAGACGTCCCTCGTGAAAATCAACAAATCGTTGACGAGGCTAACGTCTTTAAATAAAGTTTACATACATACATACATACATACATACATACATACATACATACAAGTGGAAAACTGGCTTTAGCGGCGCTAGAGAAGGAGGCTCATGGAGCGCGTGGGTTTCAAGGTATGGTCGTATAGAGCCTGTGTCTGTGTGAAACTAAAATCGTAAACAAAAGCCACAGATAGAAAAAGCCTCTGTGGAGCAGTCTTTTTATTCGACACCAGTTTCAAAATAGGGGTGTTCAGACCAGGCAATATTACTTGCAACGTACAATCATATGGTTTGGCAAATGCCAAGGCTATTTGAACCAACATTTGCCTTTAGCAACGAAGCGCGCCTGGATCAGTCGAACTTTTACGGTTTAGCGGTGCTAAATTATGAAACATGCTACATGGCTGACAAATGTGCTTTAAAATGCGGAAAACTCACGAAAGTGACGGAAACCTATCAAAATTCGGCTGATGAAAACAGAAAAGTGCATAGTAAAAGTGAACTATATTATAAAGCTAGGTGGTGCCTTCTGTAATAGTGAAAAGTTTGTCTGACCATGCACGGTGGGAATCGAACCCTGCCCCGCGACTTTGGGATAATCCAATGCTCTATCCACTGAGCTACAAGGTCATGTCGGTTCGAGTTGGTGATATTTCGGAACTGAGTCTAGTTCCTTCGATATCAATGTATTTTTTGTGTGTGTTGGTGTTATATACTCAGGTGAATATGATGTTTGTGATGTTGCTCTGAGCGTACACCGGGCAAGCTGACATCACAAACATCACATCACAAACAAGTAACATCACAAACATCATGTTAACCTGAATACATAACACCAACACACACAAAAAATATCATATCTTAGAATACATTGATATCGAAAGAGCTACATTCAGTTCCGAAATATCACCAACTCGAACGGGCTTGACCCGTCGTAGCTCGCAGCTGGTAGAGCATTGGACTATCCCAAAGGTCCGCTTCCCACCGTGGTCAGGCAAACTTTTCAGCTTGCCCGGTGTGGATGCACACTCAGAGTAACATCACAAACATCATATTCACCTGAGTACATAACTGCCAACACACACAAAAAGTATCATATATATCTTAGAACACATTCATATCAAAGGAACTAGTCTCAATTCCGAAATATCCAGCAGGAGCTCCATCTTTGAATTTACTATACGAGTAAATTCTTAAACACGTCTGTATTTATTATTATGGTAAATTCGCGGCACATTTTGAATTTATCATAATGATAAATTCGCGGCATCTAACCCCTAACACTAACCCTAGCCCCAACCCTAACCATTAACCCCTAATCCTAACCCTATCTAACTTTTTAAACTTTTTTGAAAATCTAACTTTTTAAACTTTTCTTTTCTTTTTAAAACTTTTTTAAAACTTTTTTAAAACTTTTTTAAACTTTTCTTTTGAAAATCCTTTTCAGCTTGCCCGGTGTGGATGAACATGACTCACAGTAATATCACAAACATCATATTGTTAAGAAAATAAACTATATTCTAAACTGACTCAGAAAAGTACGCGGAGGCACCAATGCTCGTAAGACCAGAATAACATAATTAAACGTGATCTTTATAAAAGTGATATTTCGACTTTATATCAAAGACTTTGTCATGCCTTGGATTATAGGATTAACAACCGATAACATTGTTGGATAGTCGCGATATATCCCTTTGGGGCTTGGCCTTGAGTATCAGCATGAATATTTTTGTGTCCGTTGTTTTTCTAGCAGCAATACTTGGAAGTCATATCTCGAGTATCTGCTGAGTAGTGGTATACTGTATATAGAAAATTTATATTGTGCCTGTAGTGCAGAAACGGACCTACCCATCCCTCTTATAGTGTTGAAAATTTAGAAAAAGACTATTTATTTGACATCATATTGGTCCGCGAAGACAATTCCTACTTTTACTAAACGAACAAAGAACTGCATCCGCATATCAGTTCGAAGTGCTTCCTATGCATCCTCAAATTGTATAAGTCATGCACTATTAAAGATGGGTATATGATGCCCAATTCTAATCAGGTGCCCTCTATCGCTTCATCAGTCCAATATATGACCCCTTGTCTTGTTTACATTTCCCTGGCAAACAAAAAGACAAATTTGGCTAACAAACGGTAACTATAGGGAGCTTTCATTAACTCGTCGAGACCGCGGGTCAGAACGGTCAAATTGTTACCATTCAATTAACAAAGATAGAAACGTCTGATCTGACCGGTCTGGGCCATTAAATGGAAAGCGCCCGTGCAGAGTTAAGAGAACCAGAGTGACCCATATACAATGAACACCACAATATTCAATAAAAATCTTTTGACTCTGGAGTGGGAGCTTTTCAATTTAAAACTTTTTCCTGCCGGAAAACAAGTTTGCTGACGAGAAATAAACAAAGACGTTCCTGTGTTAATATGGCAACACACTAATACTCAAAATATTTTCAATGTCAATATTATAATAAGCAAAGATACGTAACAAAATACAAACATCGTCAGTTTTACAAAACATGTTCTTTCATGAGCTAAAGAGTTGTCTGGTAAATAACTGGTCCAATTTTAAACAGATAATTGTCAAAGATCGATTTTAGTAAGACCACTAAGACGTCTTTGTTAAGGGAAACTCTGAAAGCGCTGACTTAATACACACAAAAAACTGCCAGAAATTGAATAATTAAATTCTTGTCCAATGAGAATGTTAGATTTGCATGACAAAGGTATTTGTCAAAGGAAAAGATATGAATAACCAGATATACATAATCACTCTTTCAGTATTGACTGTACATGCTGAGTAAAGGATAGAACTTCACGCTAGCAACCATGACTTTGAGATCTTCGTTATCGATTGCGGTTGTATTTAGCATTATTCTTCATGTATATACCAAGGTATGTGTGTTGAGTCTATACTTAGTAAATTTGACCCGTACATATATAGCTATTGCCTTATTGGTTGACATGGTGGGATTATTGGGTTATTAACTGTTTTACTCGGCGGACTGACTTTCCATAAATATTTTGTGAATAGTACCTTACATGGTATTTATCAGTTTTATTAGTATATAAAATTATAGTCTATATAAGACTATGTAAGTCAGTATAAGAGTTTTGAAACATATATGAAGGATGTACGGTTCAACTACGGTAGCTTCTTCATGGACAATGGTGCTCCGCAGCAATGTCTAAAATGTATAGATGAACATTTGAAAATTTGTAATACAGTTGAGGTCATGCATCATCTACCTAATCTATCCAAGGTTGATTACAGCAATGAAATTAGACAATAAAATTATAGAAATCGTCTTTCTAAAGACGAGTCATGAACATAGATAATTTTTGTTTCTGAAAGCCAACTTACAAAACATGATCATTTTAGGTAGGTCTTTACCCTACAGTTGTGCTCTTCTTGTATCAGCTATACTTCAGTTATAGAATTACGGCTAGCTAGGTAATTACATCTGTCACGCATTCCTGTGCATGTAGCATTGTAGACGCTGTCTAGCGATGATCCACCATAATATACATGATATAATTTTTGTACACGCGTGAAGTTTTATAGTCCGGTTTTTCCATAAGACCAATGTCAAGGATACATGATTGATGACGATGTACTTGTAACTTAATTTGAGGGTAAATCTAGTCAAATTAGAACTCGATATATATACCCTCTAATTTGGCTAATACAAATTCGTAACTCTTTATCAGGTGGTTCTAGCTAGTTCTGACTCCGACAGTTTGTCACAGCGAGACCAACTGAAGTCTTTGTGTTTCTAAAATGACAAATGTGCCCAAATTTGCATTACTGTTAGCTATCTATATTATATAGTTGCATAAAAATATATCTCCAAGAGCGAATTCTTGCTATACTTTATTAGCCTGCTTTAGCCATGCATGTATATATGTCTTTGACGCTAGACTGTAGTGTATAAAGATGAATCCGCCTGGATCAGTATATAAAAGTCCGTGTGTTGGCGATGTGCAACCAATCTCAGGGGTTCAATATCATGTTTCCGCAGTGTTCGATGAAGTCCTTTGTCAAATTCATCTACTAACATGGCGGCGATGACGTATTATACACACCTACAATTCTTAAAAAGGCCATTTGGAATATGTTTCAATGACAACGTACATGGTTCTGTTAGTGCTGCCCAACTGCATGTATGGCAAATTATTTTCTATATGACTTTTTAAATTTTTATTAGGAGATGGACCAAAGATTTGTTGGCTCAGAGGCGTTAAGACAAGAAGATAATGTAAGTTTCAGTGTGTGTATAATTTCACCTATATACATATTTCCATCCGCCTACGTATGTTAAATGCTTTTATTTTATAAATTATGGTAGAATTGTTTAGAAATTGGCAAGCGGTGCGCATTATCCCCACGCGTTTTAATACCAAGACGTGCCGGTCCAAGGTTCCACGCCCATATAGATGATTTGTCTAATGTTTGTAACGGGGGAAGTGGTAACCCATTCTTCCGAAACAAAAGACTATGGGCAATGTTTCCAATGTGACCATATGCATGTATTCAAATATTTTGAACTATTTCATTTACTCTGGTATATATCGGATGCATCTATTGACGCAATAACGTAATTTTGTTAAGAATTTCAAGAGTTTTTTCATTGACCACACACGACTGCACTCCACCATGGTCACGTTCTATAATTGTGGATAAAACAATGAACCAATACAATAAAACTGAAGAACATTTCTTCTGAAGAACAAGTCATGAAGACACAAAGCATGTTCATTTTAGGTTGATATCGGGATTTTGGGCATTTCACTCCATACACCTTACACGGCTGGCATTATGCAACTTAATGTATAATTACACGAACTTGTGGTTAATTAAAGGCACAGTTCAGCCTTTTGAATGATGGTTTTTAAGGCGCATTACAACCCTTTTAATTGGAAAAACTAACTAGGAAAATCAATTAAGCATAATTCAAGATCAGCAAACTTAACGTTTTTAACATTAAAAAAAAATGTTAGAAAATGTTAAAAACATTGAGATCACTGATTTTGAATTATGCTCAATTTATTTTCCTATAGTTAGTTTTTTCAATGAAAAGGGTTGTAATGCGCTTTACAAACCTGTGCAGTTCAGTTCCTGCTTATAGGTCTAAAAATGTATAAAAATTATACACTCGAAATTTCCATCTACAGAAACCCTTCATTATTTTATGTTGGTATTTAGTAATTTAGCCACTGCCAAATTATATTTTGTAGATTAGATTGCAGTGAGATTGCTAAATGTATTTAAAATACTCATTAAAAATTCACAAACGTTGTGGCAAACTCATGTCAGCCATAATATGTCACGTGGAGTGACTTTATATCTGATAAAACCCATCTTCATTAGTATTCTTTATATAATTGTTCATCCTAATTAGTATGATTATATAATTGTTCATCCTAATTAGTATATGTAGTTAGATTTTAAGCTATTCAAAACACTCGAACTCGCGATTTATCGTATCTAAAACGCTCGGCTGCACCTCGCGTTTTAAATATTATAAAACACTCCTCGTGTTTTAAATACTACATAATTGTCAGATACAAGAGAACAAATGTTAGTTTTTGAACTTCTTGAACTTGAGCATCTGCGGAAGTCATATATAAGAAACACCCAGTCTTCCGATACGTAATATACAAATTTGCTCAACAACAATACAAATTTGCGTAACATACAAAAATTGACAACCTGCCAACATCAGTTATATACAACCAATCAAGTAGAAGTCCACATGTTTGGAATTTGCATAAATACATTTAGATGTTATAGTTTAATGATTGCAGCTGATCGTGTTAGTTTCTCGGCTTGCCGGCTGGAAAAAGTGATCGACATCGTTTATTTTTTGGGAAAAGGCAAAACTGTGAAAGCAAAGATACAAAAACCTGGAACTTTTTCTGTTAAATTGATATAATATAATTTCATGACTCGTGTAATTAAAACAATATAAAGGACGTTGGGCGAACGTGGGCGATATTGGACCATTTCCGAGATAACCAAACTAAGCAATATCTCAATTGAATGTCAGTTATGCGACTGTCAATTTCAGTCAAGACAAGTTCCTGCATATACCAAACAATTCTTAAACAGGTTTATATTTAAACTTTCGAAACTAGAATCTTAGCCAACTAAAGAAAGGAAGGAAATGTTTCACCCTTCCTTTCAATCTTTCATTCTAAACAATATTCTGCTAGATCATTACCATTGACCATCGTCCAAACCAATACAGGCAGGAATATTCTTTAAAACCAACCTACACTGAAATTGTTAGAATTTTTAAAACAAAAACGGCGAAATAAATAAGGAAATACCAAATGGTTTTTCCGTGATCATATCGCGAGCTTTAGAAAGAGCATATATAGCCATACAAAAGAACATTCCGACGTTCGAAACTCGGGTTTCCTTGAGTTTTGCTCATTACCTTCAGCGCTTCTATCTCTCGCTTCCCCTACTCGCCTTGTTCATATCTTATATCAAAGCCTCGGCTCGGCAGCTCGGCTTGATAAAAAGCTAAGAAAACTCTGCGGAGGAGAGAGGCGATACCTCTCAAAGTTCTTGAATTTGAATTGTTACGTTGAAATTGCCGCTGAAATTACAAACTGGCTCATCGCCAATGCGGATCTCCAGGTAGAAAACTTGCATCTTTGAATTCTGTTTATGTACTTTTAAGCCCCGTTTATACACTACGCTCAATTTTTGGTACGGCACGGATAAAATTGGTACCGGCCCGTACCACTTTTTTGGTTCTTGGACTACCTAAATTGAGTGTAGTGTAAACGGGGCTTTAGTCTAGAGGGAAACAGGCTAAACAGCCTGAGTGGGAAAATGCAAATAAAAGTTATTTCAAATTCAACATATTTAACGATCCTTTATTCTCAAGTACACACTTTTCCATTTACAAGGACACATTTTCCTTTCACAAGGACACAAAGTGTGTAAAAAAACACGCTATTTTAATGCCTGGTCATTTTTCGTCCATCAAACAATTTCCGCGAAACTATTACAGACACTTCATCGTAACTGTCTCTCCAAAAACAAAATTTAATTAAATAATCACGTCCATGATGAGGAAATTATTGGGGGAGAGGCTTCCGACGGCCTTGTGTATTCTTGTTGAGGACAAACATTACGTTTTTGCATTTGCAATGCTGTTATAATAAATGTACCTGCATGCATGCTTGCATGTATACCTGCCCTTAGAACATGCATTCTAAAGGTCTTTCAAAAACTATCATCATTGTTATAATTGCTGTATATTTTGTAACTTTAGTTTTACAAGCTAATGGAAATGGCTCAACATGACAACAAACATGCTGCACATCTGATGAATGTAAAGAAATCGCTGGACTCGAATGGAAAGGTAAGTTGTTTTTGTGCATTACCGTTAGTTATCGTGTTCTTCTGTCTCGGTACATTATTAGCCTACTATATATTAGTTCTGCTTGAGTGCTTCAACAAAAAAAACTTGCTGTACCTCCAGATGTTCTCCTAAAATCTTTAGAGAGGGATTTGAAACAAGATTCTATGACATTGAATTGGAAATAAATAACTTAATCAAGCAATATATAAATACAACAAATAATGTTTGGATTTCAATTGCTCACATTGAAATATTACTTCGTCACAATATAAAACCAAGCCAAACAACTGACATTTTCACAGAAATATTGTAGAGAGAGAGAACCAAGCAGTACCCCTGCATGCATATAAAGCATTGAAGTTTGATATTTTGTTTTAGTCACTTCCGTCCACGGTATACAAAAGAATGAAAACGAAAGTTTTGAAATCTTTGGAGGCAGATTCTCTTCTTCGTCGTGCATTATATGATGGTAGGTAGAACCACGGTTAGAACGCATGCGATCATGTTCTTATGTTAGATTAAGTATTATGTTTTTATATAGAATTTTAGTATTTTTGCACAAGTGAGTATAACAAATCCTACAAGTTGATCGGTCAAATTTGACGCATTAAGCTGTTATACTCACCTACAGGTGAATATAACAAAACCGAAATTTGCAAAATGGCGGCTAGCCGTTTGTGGAAGTTACTGATAAAGAAATAAGCGAAATAAATTCAGTCCCAAAAAACACGAAAGACTTGTGTAAAAATACTAAAACAGGCGCCTCAGGCTCGGTGATCTAAGTTTTGATCTAGTATATAAGTATATAATTACCACATGCATGGATTGAAATAATTGTCAATTTCATTCTATCCATAATTTTGGCGGTGTTCTAGACAGTATAGAACATGCTTTTTGTGGATTTTGTAAACACCCATGTATGTTACTATAGCTCCAAGTTGAACATGATTTTACCGTAATTTCCTTGATGTCTCTCCCGATATTTTCCAACTTACCATCAATCTAAGATTGGACAATCTTCGACTACTATATCTTCATTCACCACTAGTCACTCAGTATGAAATAATTTATTTTTCAGAGCAAGCTAAAATTTATGCTCATGTGCAATGTGGCCTGAGGGTAATTCCTGTCGAGGTACCCTATCCAACGTCAGGATATTCATACCCAGCTTTCATTGATTTACACCAATGTGTTGGTGGCTGTCATTTCCATTCACCAAGTATCTTTCACTGTGCAGCACAAAATACATCTACTGTCCGTGTTAAAGCCTGGGAATTTAATCTCGACACGGAATTGCCGAAGCAAAAAGTTGAAACACTGGTCAACCATACGCAATGTGGATGTCAATGTGTTGTACAAGAGCACCATTGTAATAATGCAACTGAGACTTACAATGCTGATCAGTGTAAATGCGTGTGTAAAGATCTAACGCATACATGTAATACTACGATAAAGGTAACAATAGTATATTATATAGTATAGAAAGAAACAGATTGCGAAGAAAATACATCTTTTATTTAATTTCAAGAGGACCTTTCCCTTTGCATGCAATCTAAGTAATATTGTCCAATTTGTCTAGAAATCCAATTTCGTACCTTTTAGTTCTTGCATGTGTGCTTCTTCAGTACATGAGGATTGCAAATAACTCGAAAACCTTTTTACATGTATATGCATTGAAAATCTATCCTAGCATTACGCCTATATAGTCATAGACCCGAACTAGTTTGCAAATATACACGAATGTAAAGTTGGCAACGCTTGACGACTACTGCAGTGCTACTGCAAAGTTGCTTCATTTTCTGGGTGTGATTTTGTTAAATTCGTTTCCACTCTCTGACTCGTTCGGAATCCTGTACTTTCTATTCTCCGATCCAAGTTGACGTCACTCATTTTTCATCTCACTATCTATGGACCTCATAATTGAAATCTTCATGTTCAAATATGTCAGGAAATTCCATACAAATGTATAAGAAAAACAAATTTTCAAAACGCCCATTTTCGAATGTCCAAACGAGCTCGGATCAGAGAATACTATATAGTTCTATACATTATTTCTACGTAAATATTAATGTGTTCTATTGTAGTCTGATCATGTACGTTGCCTTAATCTGCTTATAATTCACTTTGTTTTCCCGATATGTTAGGAATGGAACATGGAACAGTGTCGTTGCACGTGCATCAAACATCCCTACCCGTGTAACAGCGACGGGAAATTATGGAGTCCAGATACTTGTGATTGCCAATGTCTTGATAGTATTAAGAAACGATGCCTAAGAAAAAACAAGCTACTTAACAAAAATACTTGTGAATGTTATTGCTCACCAGATATTGTGTGCCGAGCTGGAAGTGAATTGAATCCATACGATTGTTCATGCGTGCATGTGGTTTAGTATAGAGAGAACTGAAATTTCATTTTGATCCCATATTTTCAAGCAATGTAAAATTATTTTCACTCAATATACTTAATACTGTCTATAATTGTAAACACTATATAGTATACATGCATATATATAGTTATACTATATCAGCTTTAATATTCACTTAATTTTCTATTAATAGATATTCACAATGAGGAGGGTTTATAGTCCCATCTTTTAGGTTTCCATTTAAGTTGACAGTTTTTACTGACCCAACCTAGCTATGGAAATCTTTTGAACCATAATTGTTATAAACGAACCATAATTGTTATAAATCAGACACATTTGCAATGTAATATTATTATAGGAAATTTTAATTTTGTATTTAATAAAATTAGTTTTTATTTGTATTTAATAAAGTGTTTTCTGAATTGATGAAAGTGCAAACAAGGTGTATAAGGATATTAATTAAATTTTCCCATCCCAATTTGTATTAAATTTTTCAAATATTACTGTCGTTCCAATTGAAGTGTTGCTCAAATATTGATTCAATACATTACCTCGGGCTGACCAATTCATTTCATCAAGTTCCTCGAGATATTCATATATTTCCTTAGCCGCGTGGCAGGCCCTCGAATTTATTGGGGGGGGGGGCTTCCTCCCCCGGAGCCCGCCAAAATCCTGCCCGCTGCAAATCAGGCCCCCCATAAATTCGAGGGCCTGCCACGCAGGCTAACATTTCCTGTGAAAGAGTCAATTCCAAGTATTTGATCATTTCTGGTCACTTCCTTTCTATTTATGATTGGTTAGTTGCACAAACAACAAAGGTGATTGGTGGATTCAAACTATTCAACAGGAAGTTTACAATTATACTAGGAATTGTATGAATATCTCGAGGAACTTGATGAAATGAATTAGTCAGCTCGAGGTAATGTATTGAATCAATATTTGAGCAACACTTCAATTGGAATGACAGTAAACCCATCCCAGTTTATTCATGGTACACCATCATACAGAAAACAGAATTCAAGGTTTTAAGTATCGTCTTCTGACATCGTCTTGCCATTTAATTGGTTGTTTTAATGAAATATATTAGTGGTTATAAACACAAATGGCGGCACTTTCGTGACGTAATTGTTGTGAATCAATTACAGACTCCCAACTATAATGTCATGTAAGCCAAAACTAATGCTGATCCTTGCTGTATAATTTACATCCTTTGCAACGGCTTCAAAACTCGTTGTTCATCCAAGTCACCGTCGTTCTGTATAAAATTATATAAGGAGGTTTAGATTCAAACGGCAACGCAAAATGACAAACAGGACGTCAAAATACGTGTATGTATGATACACGTCAGCAGATTAGCCATGCCATTATCACCTCTTGTTTGTGATTGTTTTTCTATCCTAAATCGAATTTTTTCTAACTCTATAGTGTTTAATGACTCGTCGTAAACGTTATACATGAAATAATTTTGTCAACAAAATCGTTCAGTTTTTATAATTACCACAAATGTAACCATACGTAAACTATCTGCTTATTAAGTTATTTTTTCTGGTTGAGGAGTATCAATAATATTTTTTATTTCTACGCTTAACCACCGAATCTACCGGAGTTTTAAAAAAATTGTTATCACACTAATTTGAACACTTTTACAACAAATATTTTTTATTCATGTACAAATTTGGGCAGACCTAATACATATATATAAATTCTTAGAAATTCTATCTCCAAATAAAAAAGTATCTGCAAGTCTACATACGGCACCAAATATAGCTGGTACATACTTTACTTTTCTGACGATTTTCGCTTATTTACCAAATTTGTAAGGTAGAATTCGCCTAAATAAATAAAAAACAAACTTGTTTCACAAATTTTCGCAATCTCGAAAACAGATACTATGAGATAGGCAAAATACAGATGGTTCCAACTAATCCCAACTAGGTGATCTCGTGTTCGTATTTTAGCCAATCAGCGCTCAGAAAGGGTTGTCCGAATAGAAATCCATTTTGATGTATTCAGTCAATTATATCTTTCGTTAATTCTTTATGAAACTAGTTGAAATTTTGTAATTATGTTTGGTTATGAGACCTATAGCTCTCACAAAAATATGGAATCGAAATAAAGTATATTACAGGAGATATTCAGTTGTTTTAATCATAAAATGGATTTCTATTTGACAACTAGTGCCAGTACTTTTTCGCGTATCAAGATCATCTGGAAGGGATTCGAAGGACAAAGAGGGTTTCGTCAAGTATATATATGCTTAAATATGAATTTCAAAGAAGGAAAATCTCAATATTTTATCAAATTCACTCCAACAAAGCGGTGATAAACCACCTGCAGGCTAAGCAAGAATATCAGTGGAAATAAATCTATTATTCACTGTTGCAGACATAAAGCAGGTTAAGCACAGTCTAAATCAGCATTTAATTAAGGTCCTAAACGTACAGGAAAATGTCTTTCTCACTTAACCGTGCAAGCTGTCAATGCCTATCATACGTTATAAGTTTAAAATGTTACCAGTTGGTTCCCTGGTATATGGCTGACGCCTACATAGTCATACCTGTAGATTTTATTTTTGTGGAGGTAGCCAATCTTCAAATGGAGCTAGGCTATGTCACATTCTCGTACCCAGAGCCCGTCTTACACGCAGTCAACAGAGCATGACAAGGGTCGAGGAGTACGAGAATGGGTTGCGCCGCAACTGCAGATCAAAATATAGCCGCTGAACGAGAACAGAATACCAAGTGTGCCGCTAGATAACTAGCTCCTAATGAATTTTGGAGTTACACAGCAAGTAACTTCAGGCTTACATACCTAGCGGCTAGGCTGCATGGCTTTACCTTGCTACACATACTCTTTGGAGTTAGGCAATTAACCCGTATTAAACTCAAGGCTTAGACACCAATTTTTTCATGCTTCTTGGAGTTATGCCTAGCTCCAAATGATTTTCGGAGTTAGCCAGTAACTCCAGGCTTAGATACCTATAGCTCCTAAATGATTTTTGGAGTTAGCCAGTAACTCCACAATTCATATTTCAACTCAGTTTTGAATTACACAAGTTGCTCAAGTGTATATTTTGGTTTGGAGTTAGACCTTTAGACTTTGGAGGTAGAATCGCTCCATAACGTCCTAATTTCTACAGGCATGGACTCCTATAGCTTCATTTTAATGCAGTCACAGTAAATACACAATCCAGTTTTATTTATAGATCAGTTCGTATATACCTCGTACAAAATCAAGTGTGTGAACAAATAACTCACCAGCTTTGTAAGAAGACCTAACCAACGGACCACTTGCTGTATAAGCGAAACCTAAGTCTTTACCAACTTTCTCCCAATATTCAAATTTTTGTGGCGTTATGTATTCAAATACCTGAAAGAAATGATGAAAGTGATTTAAAGATAAACTACGTGAAGCGTTCCTCTTTTGACTAATTTGCAATTTAAAAAACGCTCTTGCAAATCCCTTGAACGAATTTTCAATGTTGCTAAAAGCCGATTAAATTTTCCTCAGTTCCTGTTAAGGCCTGATTCCACGAGGCGGAATTTTTCGACCGAAACAAAATTTCTCTTTGTCTTTTTACAATTAGTTCTGCTCGAGAGCTCATGAAACAAAGAGAAATTTCGATTCGGTCGAAAAATGTCGCCTAGTGGAAAACCGCCTTTAGGAGTTCTTAACTTTCTGTTACAAGTTCCAGGTTGCTTACCATTTACATGGAAATTCCGGTGATTCCATACGGAAAGTAAATGGAACAAGCATATTTCGACTGCCCAACCGGAACTTTTCCGGAATGAACGGTTTGTTTGAAAAGGTTGTCCTCTCTTACCGATTGGAAAGTTTCAAGCGGTAAATGTTGTTCCATTTACATCTTTTTTATTTTTTTTCACCAGTTCCAGACTCTTCTCGATTTAACAATTGAAATTATTAAATGGAAAGCGCATAATCCGAATGGGATTTTCTATCCGAAATTTTGCTTACCATTAGCACAATTTCAAACCGGATGGGTTTTCCGTGTAAATGGTAAACAACCCCAAACTTCCTGTCCTGTCCGGTCCTGTCCTGTCCTGTTCTGTTCTGTTCTGTGCGTTGTAATTGCATGGCTATTAAGCCGGTTTTCCACTAGGCGGAATTTTGCGCGCGGAGTGGAATTTTTCTTTGTCTTTTCTAATTAGTTCCACCCGAGAAAACACAAGACAAAGAAAAATTCCGCTCCGCGCTCAAAATTCCGCCTAGTGGAAAACAGGCTTAAGGGAGTTTACGATCTACGACGCGGCCGCCTCGACGACGCGCTTTCAAAACAAAAAAATTTGGTGTTTTCACAAACAATAGTATTATATGTTTATCGCCATGCAAACTTACAAAGAACTTACAAAGAAATTTGTCATGCAAGACAAAAACTGTCAATAATTCGTGGTCCCAGGAGTATTGTCAACCGCGTTGTCATTCTCAACACAACGTTAAACAAGCATTATTACGTCTTCCAGTCAATGTGAAAGCTTAATGCGACCCAAGAGGTGTTACTTAAAATCGAAATTACAGCAAACATTGCATCGCTTCAGCCGAACGTAGCAGTTTGTAAGGTTATTTGAAAAAGCGTGAAATATTTATTACAGTAATCAAATTGCTTACCGCTCATTCTTGAGCTGAAATTTAGACTGCGTCGCTGAGCCGGCCGCGTCGTAGATCGTAAACTCCCTATTAATCCACCAATGACAACGCTCAGAACAGAACAGAAAGTCATGAAATTAAAACAGGAAGTTAGGAAAATTTAAAATAAAGTTGGAGTATTGTAACAGCCGATAGGATTGCATTGGAGTATTGTAACAGCCGATAGGAACATTGCAAATTCCCTGAAGGGATTTGCAAAGAGTTTTTCAAATTTGCAAAGCCAAAGCTAATAAGGAAAATTCCAAATGAGTTAGGAAGTCAAAAGAGGAACGCTTCACGTAGTTTACCTGTAACGGGGATTTGTCTCAGTTATCAATATACAGTACAAGAGTGTAAAAATGAAGAAACTAAATTTTATTTAATAACGATTACAAGTAATACCACTCATGTAATACACCATTTCGATAATTACGTCACAAATCTCTTTGACCTGGGGAGCCTCGTTCTCATGAATCGTGAGCCAATGGACTTTCATCTTGGTTAATGAGAACGAGGCTCCCAGGCCAAGAAAGTAGTCATGACGTAATTATCGAAAAGGTGTATACAATCACCACACCTTCAAGTGTAATCTTGTAGGTTGCATATACTGTCCAAGTGTTAAACAATCCACGTCAGCTTCCCTGAGGTCTAGAGTAAGAAGTAGAAAACCTAATGTTATATTGATATTACTGTGCAATAATTTTACCCAAATATTGCTATCTCGGTATCAAATCTGGGATACATGGCCATTTTCACGAATTCTCCAGTTGTAAAAACCCGAAGTGAACAAACAATCGATTTCGGTTATTGTATAGCAAAAAAAGGAATTATTGTTCTTTTCTCCACCGATCAGAATTCAGTGATGTTGCTATGCATGCAAAATAGCTGAAAAATAAATTCAATATTTGTGAAGATTTTATCAACGGTTTGGAAATTCTACGAATGAGCACCTTTCATAGTTTGTAAAATCTCGTCATCGGTTTCTCCAACACCCAACATGATTGAACTCTTCGTAACCATGTCTGCTCTGGCGTTCTTTGCACGACGTAATACATTTAAAGACTGTTTGTACCCGGCTCTGGGGTCGCGTAGAAGCCTAAAACAGGAAGATTAAAGGGTAAAAACCACCACGTTCATATTCTATCAAGAGGTGACACTGTGTACACAAATTAAAAAACTCATTAATAATTCATGAAGAAAACACAAAAGAAATCATGGGCGTGAAGAAGTCTGTATATGTGATTCAGATTCATGTTGATTTACATAAACTTTAACTTTGATTTTCTCGGAATAGACAACGTCTATTTTTAAAATTACTTCGCCAATGAACTCATAAGATGAGTCGTTTTTTAAGCCATTTACAACATTCGCGTCCGTGTTGTATCGGATATACAAACTCTAGCCTTCGGCTCGAGTTTGTATATCCGATACAACACGGCCGCTCATGTTGTAAATAGTACTAACACAGGATACAGGATATCGATGACGTAATGAAAATAAGATAAGGTGTTTTTATAGTGAATTGAAACGCCAAAAAATGTGTTCAAAACGAGGCACAGGCCTAGAAATATATATTTCTCTTCCTGGCAGCAAAATCCCAAAATAAAACTTTCCTGTGCAAGTCAAATACAATATGGTGCCACACATTGTGATGAACAATTGTGGTAGACAATCTCGACTTGCAAAACGCTTTTGTAAATAATGTGGCATTCCAGTTTATAAGATGACAAAAATTTCCTGCAAGATGTAAGACGATTTCCTTTCCAGATGTAAGACGATTTCAAGATATTTTGTTAAAAATTTCCTGGCAGCGGTGCTGACGCACATCTTTCAGCTCTGACGAGGCATGAGACGAGTAATTTCAACAAACGCCTTCGAGTGTATGCTAAAAATTCTCCAACGAACCGATATTTAAAGTTAATTCCAAAGCCAGATTTTGCCTTTGGGCTATTGGGCATTTATTACAAAACAGTGCCACGTATTGCCTGTGTTTGCCTATGAATCAAGTTCGATAAATTATAACTACATGGAGTTAGATATACAGTTATATCAACACGAGTGGAAATTTGGGAAATTTCGAGTTTTCCCAATTTCCACGAGTGTTGAACTGTTATCAATACGAACCGTGTTGACATTAAGTTATATCAACATGGCTCTTTAAGAATTTACAAATTATGCTATATTATAATGCCAAATATAATATACTTACAGCTGAAGTCGATCCACAGTTTCTACGTTATGTGCGTAAACATCTAATCCTGAGTCCACAATTATTTTTACATGGTCTAAATTTCCACGAAAATCTGGTGTGAGACATTCAACCAACAGTGATGGGTTTCTAGAAACAGTAGAGGAAATCAGTCAATAATTCGAAAATAGTTAAAGATGATGTCACTCCTGTGCACATGCGCGAACTTTGTTTATGTTTTGAACTGCTATATTTGTAAAATATGATATACTAACTGAATATCTAACACTTCTCTGGTTCGCTATGCTTGTAAATGATATAAACTGTACGTTTCAGAAACGTCGAAAGACACAATATTTGGGCAATGTTTATATCTGGGGTCCCCTTTGTTATGAGCAGAACTGATGCGCAGAACGGAATGGAAATCATCTTTAACGATCGAGCTGTCAGCCAGTTTGTCAATGAATAGTTTTTAAATGTCAGTATTCTGGCAACCACCAAGGGCGTATGGGGGTTGATTATGGTCAGAAACAACTTCTTCTTTGAACACCGTTTCGCTTCAGATACATCACGCATGATCATTTTTGTCCTGGAAGGGAAACATCACGTTTCCTATACTCACATTTCCTACTTTTGATGTGAAAGTTAACCAATGAGAATCGCGTATTTTAGAGTTAAGTTCAATTTAACATTCAAATACTCATTAATAATTCATGAAGAAAACACAAAGAAAAATCATAAGCGTGTCGTATCTTTATATAATATGTGATAGAGATTTCCCTTGATTTACATAAACTTTAACTTTGATTTTCTCGACTTACACAACGTATTTTTTGAAAATTACTTCGCCAATGAACTTACTAGATCGATCGTTTTTGAAGCAATTTAAAACATTCGCAGTGCGTGTTTTATCAGACCTAAAGATACTCGGCTTTGCCTCGTATCTTTATATCCGATAAAAAACACTGCTGCCCATGTTTTAAATAGTACATAAAATATGGAAGTTGGAAGGTAGTAAAAAATTTTATACTACTACATAGTTACTTTTCCTTGATTTTGATAACTGTCTCGGCAAAATGTGAAGCGCCACCATCTGGTAAATCTGCAATTAAAGAAATAATTCTAGATCTAATTAATCTTTAGTTTTTATTAATTGGGGCGAGCCTGAGCGAGCCCCACAGTTTGGTGGCTCATCGAGCTCAAGCGCAATGCATTACGGTCAGTTGTACGTACGTACGTACGTACACGGAACTTTTCCTGCAGTGATTTAAATCCTACCGGCCTTTCGCCTCGCACCGGCTATTTTGAGAACTTTCAGTCCTACACTGCAGTGATTTACAGTAAATTCTACAGGCCTTTCGCCTCTCACCGGCTGACGATTTTTCATGCGATGAAATATATTCTTCATGCCAAAGAACATTTGGAAGTTGGAATGGTCAGTATTATTTACAGTGGTCAGTATTAAGCCCATCGCAATTTTTACTTTACTCGATTTCTGAGTGAGTTGCGGTTCAAACTCTGATGCAAAGCCCGATTTCGATTTGATTTGGGCTGAATATTCTGTAATTCTTCTCTGAAACTATGGACCTTATTTGCAAGTTTTTGCAATCCGGCTTTGTACGTATTAAATGTTTTGTTTGCATGCAGGGCCATGTATGTATCTGCTATTTTTAGCGCGCGTGCCAAAAACCATGCATTCAACCATTTCTATATTATTTATTTCAATATTTCATGCATGAACGATGGAAAAAAATGTGATTTCAATAACGTGTTTAATGTTTTAACAAAATATCAAATATAAAGCCCATTCTTAAGGCCGTTTTCCACTAGGCGGAATTTTCCGCGCGGAGCGGAATTTTTCTTTGTCTTGTGATTTCTCGAGTGGAACTAATTAGAAAAGACAAAGAAAAATTCCGCTCCGCGCGGAAAATTCCGCCTAGTGGAAAACGGCCTTAAACGTCGCATTTTACATGCGCTGAATGCATTCAAAACAATGGATAATGAGGCATTTTAGCTGATTATCTGTTGTTTTGAATGCATTCGGCACATGTAAAATGCGACGTTTAGAACAGGCCTTATACATGGATAGCAATACAATTCCCAACATTAATACTACGAGTTTTGCCTTTGAACAAAATATCAGACATAATACACGGCTAGAAATACAATTCCCAACATTTATAATACTAAGAGTTTTGCCTTTGAAATTTCGACACTACATTGCAATACCAATGATAGTTTAATTAATTAAAGTGCGGAAACAAGAAAGGTTGACATTAGTCATCATTGTTGCATGATAGTTGCTGGCTATGATTGCTCTGGCTCGCCCCGTGATGCTTAGCATCTCCCTAGTTATTGATATTGAGGTCGACAAAAAAGATACAATGCTAACCATCTCTGTCAACAGATGTTAGAACAACATAACCAAGTTCCCATTTTGAAATTGCTGTAGCTGTATTTTCTGGTTCCATTGGATCCGGTGGTGGTGGCTTTTTGTTTGTTTTCACTGAACAGAACCGACATCCCCTCGTACACTGGTCACCTAGTAACTAGAAATGAGAAATATAACTGACTGTATAATCTATGTTTACAATAATTGTGTTATCAATCAATGACATTAATGTAACCTAAACCACCATGTATTACCATGATCGTCGCAGTTGCTGTTTGACCATCAGATCCTCCCCAACATTCCCCAATATTGGGACATTTCGCTTCTTCACATACCTACAATGCAAGCCACAATACTTGAATGGAGCCATTCAGCGGATGTATGCTAATGCTCGATGCCATCCGATACATATTTTTGGATTATGAACGTACGTTTTCTTTAAATTAGACTGTATATGTGATCGAATCAGGTGGACACTATAGGCTCAGATTCCAGCTATTTCAAACAGTAAATAACTAAGATGAACAAGAATATTTATCTATGAAAGCCTGATATCCTTTTAGCTAAGCCCTGGTCAAACGTGAGTTGATGACAGTGAGAGGTTGCATGAGAGTTTTCTCAACTCTCATGCCCTGGTCAAACGCGAACAAAGGTTGCATGAGAGTTGTTGGGAGTTGACTAGCAAAAATGTCAATGAATTGAAATTTTTTACAGCAACTAGGTTGGAACTTGTTGCTTTATAACAGTATTTGCACCCACAATACCCACTGATCATGGTGATAATATGTGTCGTCACTCAAACTGAACTTACCGTGGACAGATTAAGACCTCTCAAAGATTCCTTCAGCCTGTAATAATTCTTTCCGATTGGAATTTCTGTTTTAAGCCACGGTGGTAACCGTAACCTGGAAAACAATGCGTCCTACTGTACTTTGTTATTTTACCTTGTCTACGAACAGACGATTTTATGCGTCAAGGCAAACCACACTTTCACCACTTGTCCTATTTAAACCTGTTTTGCCATTTTGCACCCTTGTGCGCTTTACTTTCAATTTGTGTCAAGGCGAGTATTTATTCTGTACAGTATTTCCCAAATTTCAAAAATTCTGTATTTCCCAAATTTCAAGCTCAAAGTAGACTAACAAGGCAAAGTGTTAACCTGTCAGAGGTGTTGGGGGTCAATAGTCCAAGAAACTTTGACCTCTGGGTCTTGATGCTGTATTTTCAGACACAACTCTTGACATATTTCATGTAGACAGCAACATGCAGGGGCGGATCTAGGGGTGATCAGAGCGATCACGCGACTAAGGTAAAAATTGGCCGGCAGAAAATTGTTAAATTAAAATAGCAGTCCAGTTATCAAACTTCGCGCAGTGTATTGTATTGAAAGTTTAACAGTCCAGTTCTAAGATATCATCCAGTAGCAAGGCCTTCGAACATGAACGCGCAGAAAAGCGGTCTTACGCATGAGTTTTGCACGCTCTGAGTCAGATTCCAGCTATCTGATTGGCTATCTCGATTTTTGCGCGATCTGTGGGGAGTTCTGATCGCTAAAGCGATCAGGGGCTCGAATACAGGCTATCCGATTGGCTAATTCAAAAAAATCCTCAATTCCCGTTGGCTGGATTTTTTTGATCGATCATACCGTTCAGGCTAATAGTATGCACGGAAAGGTCTATGACGTTGCAGGATCTTTCTGATCAAGCAGCAGTATTTATGTAAAATTGACTGAAATATTATGTAAATTTCGTCTCTTATTATTATACGCGTACCCGCCGATTTTATAGCATGTGCGTTTTATGGCAATCGGAAAATTTATCAGAAGTTCTAAACTAATACTAGCCATGTCTGTTGGTATTTACGAAACCGCAAAGGCTGCCCGAAGCGTTCTAAAGACTTATTGAGCGCTGTGAAGTGTGAACAACACAAGTTTCTTCCTCGCACCGCGAAATTTTGGTGCGGAATCTTACATCCCGAAGTACGTTCGAGAGAGAACGAAAACGTTTTGTACGGCCTTAAGGTAAATATATTCTATTTTAACTTGATATAGCATCATAGCTGTTGTAGGCTGTAGTGGTTGCGCGTCTGTACGTAATAAGAGACGAAATTTACATAATATTTCGGTCACTTTACATGATACTGCGGCTTAATACAAGCAGTTTCAGTTTGTTTATACTTTGTTTATGCCTCTTGTGAAATGTGGGCTTTATATATTGATCAGATACTTATAATACTGTATTATTTATGCCTAGTTGTCTAGTATATTAAAACTACAAGCACATGACAATGTGCATGGCTTTGTGTAATACGATCTCTACAACATGTATACAATAAGTAAAATGGATCATGTTGCCATTGTGATAACTTATTCATGGCACATGTTTCTGCTATGAATAAAACTCGAGTCTCGAGAAGCAGTGAATTAAACGTGGAAATTCTCTTCCTGCGAATTAACAATCAATCAAATGTTTTATAAAACTACATCGCTATATTTGAAAATCTTTTGACCATTCATGCAAATTAAGGACAAAATATGGAGTTATGTGTTTCCTAGGCGTGCTGACGAGCACTGAATTGGGCGAAACAGTCATTTTTCACGTAACATTTTTTCGTAAAACTGGATACAAATTAATTCGCTTTGCGACCCCCCCCCCGATGTTCAGCAACGAAATTTTTGACTAACGTACGAAAAATCCTAGATCCGCCCCTGGCAACATGGTTAGTGGAATAATAAACACTCGAACTAATACACCTCAGATATACATACTGCATACGTTGCACAATTTTCAATGCAGAGGACTTCTGGAATGCACAGTGCATTGTGGGATACGTTTGAGTCAGTAATTCATTATTTGAAAATTACGTGACGTCAGCACTTCTAAAGTCTATTGAGAATTACATATTAATTCGATGTATAGTTGTTTTACATTTTAATGTTACATGTTGCCAGTAATAACATGGCAAAAGGTTCTAAGGCCAAAGTTTCAATCACAAAAACTAAGTTCTACATGCATGTATAGCCAAGAGGATGCACTTTGATGATGGGTGTACTGTATTGGTAGGATTATTGAAATTTCAAAACTAACCTTTTCCCTTTAATTCTCTTATATGGATTGAAGTCTGTAGGAACATCTTCAGAGATAAAGTCTGCAAGGCTTGGCCCTTTTGCTAAATTCTCCTTTTGTTCTTCAGAAAGTGATCCAAGTGTCCGCCTTTTACAACGCAGGTGCTTTGCAATACTCTGTGTTATCAAATAAATTAGGTTACATATTAAACCATGCGCTGTAAAAGCTACATAATTTTTGTAAGTAGTTATATAATTGCAGTCAGTCAGTTACAACGGGTTGTTGTCCGTGTAAACGATAAAGCGAGGGGAATAGTAAAGGTAATCACGAAATAATTCCGTAATTGACCATATCAGTGATAGGAATTCCAGTTTCCTTGCGTGGAGGTGGTAGTTACGCTCGGCCGGATTCAAGGTACGCGAGACGTATGCAATTACCCTCAAAGTTCCCTCTTGTTTTTGATATGGAACCGCTCCGAGTCCGTGCTGTGAAGCGTCGGTACGAACTACGAATGGGGTGTTGTAGCCGGGATATGCTAAGATGGGTGGTGATGTGACACACTCCATTAGCTTGCTCATTGCAGTTGTTTCGTAATCCACTTTACTGGATGTTTCGATAGGAGTTGACCATTAGTTGGTGGTGGTCCCACTTTTTGATGCTTTCCATCTAACAGTTCGTATACTGATGGGTTTTGCAATCCTGGCAAAATCTTTGATATGGCGGCGATACACTCCGAGTAAGCCCATGAGTCGTCGAACTTCACCTACTGTTTTCGGTATGCTATCTTTTAATTTTGTCACGGCTTCAGTGGCTTTCGGATCGATGTAGTATCCGGATTTCGATATCACTCTAGATACCAAGGAAGGAAACTTCTCTATGGAATAGCTTACATTTACCAGGTTTTAGTTTCACGCCGTGACTTTGCAACTGCTGGAGGACTTGTCGAACATGTCCCACGTGCTCCTCGAATGTTTTTGAAAACACAATTATATCGTCTAAGTAGGGGATACATACTAAGTCTTGGTCGCGCAGATCTCCAAAGCAGCCCTCCATAAAAAGTTGAAAGCTGGCAGGTGAGTTCGTCAAACCAAATGGTATCCTTACCCACTCGTACAACCCCCACGGAGTTGTAAAGGCAGTTAATGATTGGCGTTCGGGGCTTACAAAGCCCTGATGGTAAGCTTGCCCTGGTCTAACGTGCTGAACCATGCATTGCCTCCAAGATTCTCCAATGTCTCCTGGATTCCGGGGATTGGGTGGCGATCTTATTTAACTCTCGATAGGCAACACATAACCTTATTCCCCCATCTTTCTTCCTCACGCACACAACGCTGCTTGGAATAGATGGGTGACATAGATTTGCGAATAAAGTTCTTGTTGAGCAGGTCTTCGAGGTAATGCTTGACCTCAGGGTGCAGGGGACAAGGGATAGCTGTATAAATCTTTTGTACCGGTCGCGTATCTGTCAGGTTGATGTTCATTTGCAGGTCTGGTATGCAACCGATGTCATTTTCAACGAAAGCGTCACGTTCTTCGCACAACATTTTTCGGACGACATGTTGCTGTTCGGGTGTGAGTCCGCTGAGATCTACTTTTGGTGCAACACTTTCTTCCTGATTTGCATGATCTTCTTTTTCTCCTGTTGTTGATGCTTTCGACTGACCCATAATATCTAGAGCTATCTTCGTTCTCTTCGCTACCTTTCAACTTAATATCAGAATCCACGCCCAGTAACTCGTTAATATCCCGTATCGTCAAGTCAGGCAATTGTTGTTTCAAGATGTGTTCTGTAATTGTAGAGACTTGAGCTCCAGTGTCCCACAGGGTTGTTACTTTTATATCATTTAGGCAACAGCTAGTTAACAGAACATTTTCTACCAACTAATTTATAAAAGCAGCTTGCTGTTTAAGGGTTATGTGACTAACAAAAACACTGGAGTCACAACCATCACCAAGTCCTTTGGCATGTGGTAAATCTTGAATAACTTTACAAAGTGATTGGTGGTCATTCCAATATCTCTTCTGACATCCAGTCGAACAATAATATATCAACTTACAAGCGGAGCAACGTTTAAAATTTACATCTCCTTCTTCTTTCTGACAACAGTTACAATAGCGGGACGTGTTCTTTACTGGAGGGCTACTCCCTGTCTCGTGGGTGGTCGCCGCGGCCTTTTCCCGACCGACAGTAGCGTACAGTATGGTTGGGTCTGCCACACTTAAAGCAATGGGAGTAATCCGCTTGTTTGTTTTCGTAACACGATTTATATTGTCTGGGATAAGGACTTCTGGTTCGCAACATGGTGTCACTTCTGGCTCCACCTTCTGTAGGAAGATGGTTACGAGGGTAGTCTTTGTCACCAACTTCCCTCTGGAGGCTTGCCACTTCCGATTGAGCACTGTTCAGTTCTGACTGTATATGGCCTTGCGTGTCGCCAGAATCTGATTTTCGTGCTGGTTACTTGGGTTGTTTTCCTTTGGTTCACCGCTGGCCACAGCTTCCACTTCTGATATCTTTGTCGACGGTCTAGCCGGTTTTCCTTGAGTAAATTTGTTAGCTCACTCCGATTCTGCCGACATAGCTAAGCTCATCGCCTCGATTAAACCTTCGTCAGCCACAGAATGATTTTTTAACAGGGGCCTGATCTTTGCACGAATAGTCTCATCCGCTAGACCAGTTAGTCTGTTTCGACAGCATGAACGAATAGTCCTTGAATTAATTCTTCATCATACTTAATTTTACTGTCCGATTCCTGTGATGCAAAGACAATCTTTTGCCGAGTGGTCAAAGCGCGAATAAAGAATGACTGCAGGTATTCCTTTGGTAGTTGGCTAATATTCGCTAAGAGCTGGTATAACTCGGTGGCACTCTTCTCCTGAAAATGGAAACGGAACATTTTGCGTAGTTTTGGCAGGGTTAATCCACTCAGTCCCTCCAAGTAGCTGCGTAGTTGTAATCCTTGAATCGAGTTAATAACTGCAGTAACTACTTCGGGCTCCGTATAGCCTTTCTTTAACCCGGCTTCGATCTGCGAGATTAACGACTGATAGGTCATTTTGTCTTTCTGTTCGGGTTCACTAATTTTTTCTTCTCGGCTTCCTCTGAGCTTTCGTTACTTTTGTCTAACATTTGCTCATACAAAAGCGACTTGATTTTTTCCACTAGGTCTGAAAAACCGTTTTCCTAACACTTGCTCGCTTCGCTTTAATCAGTTCGAATTTCCCTTCAAATGCCTTCTGTTGTCTCAACGGTGATCATGAGCCACTTCATTTTTATACCAAAATCTTTTAAATCTGTTATATTTAACCCGAGTATACAAGACTGGAGTTCTATCATAACTTCTTCATCCATTTTGAACCCAATCCAGTGAAATATGCGACAATAAATACTCTCAAGTCTCAACGTTAATTTAAAACATAAGCGTACCTTCGCTGTTTTCTTCGATCAAAACATACACCAAAATTCACTGAGTGTGCTTCCATATTTTCGTCCCGGTGGGACCTCCAAAATTTATGTTACTCGATATTCCACACAATATATTACAATTTTTATCGTTTTATTTAATGTATAGAATCGTATTAAAACTGTTTACAATACTTCAATATAATCCAGAATAACAACTAAAAACTTTATTTATACACGATGACCTCGTCAACCGAAGCTGATTTCTACGAGGGGCGTGTGCAAAAATAGAAAACTTAAGAGCTATTTGCAAAAATAAGGCAAAATACTTCAATTATTTACATGATAAGAACGTTATTAGAATATTTACAGGCACATCAATTTACTTATTACTCTATATCAATGATATGAGCAACGATTTCTCTATGTGAACGAGTATTTTCTCGTGAGCTCAGAAATCAATAAAATTGTTTCAAGAAATCTACACACGCTAACAGTAGAAGTTCTGCCAATGGCTATGCGAAAAGCAGAAAATGTGTGGTCAAGCAGATATTTTTAGGGTTGTGCTGGACTCCTCTAGAGTGATGATAGACACCACTAGGTGTGCTGCACCCCGCCCCTCCCCCCACGGTAGATCCGCTCCTAAATTTAAGATTACAAACATTATGAACAACTGTCGACAGCCTCGTTTGATTGTAATTGATCAGTCATCACTTGATTAATTAGAGGGCACTCAGAGACTGCATGCCTCTGCTAGCAAATTAATGTATGTCACATATCATGCATAGATTATACAATGGGCTACTTGTGCATTCAGTTTACTCATCAATCAAATTGTACAGGGACCGTCTTCAGCTCCCTGCTGCCAATACAGGCTTCTGGAAAGTATGTCACAATGGCTAAAGAGCCACGTTTTTGTGATTGAAACTTTGGGCTTTAACTAGCGTCACATGAACGAGGCTCTTTAGCTAAAGTGATGTACTTTCTGGAAGGGTGTATTAACATAATTTTTTTTTTGGGGGGGGGCTTCAGCCCCCTGCACTAGTACTCTAATAAATAGTAATAGTTACATGGTCATGGCACTGCCATTGGCTTAACCAAAATTATCAGTTTTGAAAGGTGAAATATATTAGTTTTGAAAGTGCTAAAGTTGGGCTTCTACAGTGTTGAAGTTTTAAGCATGTCTACGTGATTTTCAAAGTAGAGTATTAACGTTTGGCTTGGCCAATAGATACTTTGTGTAATTGTCCTTTTACAATATGATAATCATTGGCAATCTTGAATCTTCACTAATTTTTCAGTTACACATGTGTTCCACAGAAATATATATCTCCCTACCATCAAGCAATATACACATGGTCCTGACTGGAAAGCTTGTTAATTTATAGGAAATATATAGAAAGCATCAAAATTGCGCACCCGATATCTCGGGCGTGCAGTACAAACTTTCGACACTGGCACATGGTAACTGTCAAACAAAATTATTTTGGGAAATAGCTGGAAATGAACTTTCTGGGTATGTAATTTTCAAAATTTTCTAGGTTCGAGGCTAACTTACTCCATCTCAACACCACTCCACCACTCAATCGAAAAAAGCCAGTAATTTACAATCCCACTGAATATATTTCGGGTTGCATAATCAGACATGTCAATCTTAAAATTTTAAAACAGGGAGATTTCGCTTTTTAGCCCTTAAAAAACTGTGAGATTTTATCAAAAAACGGGAGAGCAAAATTAAAGTCATATGCAGTGTTCAAAACAGTAAAAAATTCTAATCATTTTCCCGGCTTTATAATCATTATAATTGCATGCATTCGCTTCAACAACTTGTTTAATTTAATTTAATGCCAACATGGCAAGAATGCAACTAGTTTTCGAGATCCCACGTTACATCTCATATCCTTACAATAATCTACTTTATATCGCTTATAGTGCGAAAGTGGATAAAAAAGCCGAACACTTGTAGTTCATGGAGTAAGTTTCAGCTTGGACACGAGTGATTTTCACACGACTACTATTTCTTGCCAGATATTTGAATCTGGAAAATATTCCATTACCTTGTAACAATTAAAACAAGCAACCGGGAGAAAATATCTTGATACCGGGAGAAAAAGGTCAAAACCGGGAGTCTCCCGGCGGCACCGGGAGAGTTGACAGGTCTGCATAATGTTTTCATGCTATAAAATAATTAAGCTAGTTATGGCATTAAATCAGGGGGATTCAATAAACCTGCACCTAAACTGCAACCTGGAAGGACCAGGAAGGCTATAAACCAACCGTTGATGTTAATTGTTAACTTGATGGACTTTAGTAGTTTACTAGTTAAATTAGTCTATATTTTGCCTAGTCAAACATTTTTGCATATTTAAAAATATGTACTGCATGAATCGACAGATCAAAAACAGATCATTATTCTGGTCTCCTGGGTAAATACTTTAACGGACTACAAACCTTATTTTGTTTTGACATGAGAATAATACATCTTTGCATTCTTGAGAACGCCATTTTGAATGTACGTATGTTGTTGAATATTTTGGGGATACATGGGGATATTTTCAACTCTCAAGAAAAACAAATGTCAAATGTCCCAGACTCCCAGTATATTCCTCACAATGTCCCTTACAATAAAGCATGCTAGATGCATATCAATTCTACTTTCGTTTTTTCCCTTTACTGTAAATATATTAAACCATGGCTGTAACAAATGAAACCCCAGCAACATTGGATCTGATTATTAATCATGGTAGGTAAATATATATAGTGAAACTAAAAGTAAGTTTTAACAATGTGTGTGCATTCCTACAGCCTAGGGCCCTAGGGGGCCATCGACAAATAGATTCCGTCCACCGATCGCAGACTTGTTCCGTGATGGTGTTTACCCCCTGGCCCCCTCCTCCATCGCGGACCAACATGGGACAGTATAAAATATGAGGTTTGGGGCATCTACACTCTACGGTTATCGTATATATCGTACGTGCATGTGTCAAGTTGTCAACAACAAATGGTCAATGACCGCGATCAAATAACAAATACTCCAGCGTATTAAAATGTTTGGATAAATTATGTCAAATAAACTTCGCTGGGTTTAATTATGGATAATATGCAATGTCAATTCTTTTTCACACACACTAATTCAGATTTTGTCCTCATTTTGCTTTTCTTAGCAGATTCAAAGCCGACTCCCCCCCATTGAGTTGTTCCAGAAAAGATTCATACTCCCCCCCACAGACGAAATATTTTCAGCCATCCGGAGAGGGAGGGGATAAAAAATTGTTTCTGATAATAGTAAATGTATTAGGACATCTGAAGGGGGTAGGGGGGTTAAATTATTAATGGAGGAGATTTTGTGACCATATTGATTGGTGATGAAATGTTGATTACTGTTATAACGGCCATTAACCAGGCTATCTTGGGAATGTACTAAAACTGTCTGTACCAGTGTTGGTAGTACCAAAGTGAAAATGCTGTGCTGAATGGTTATATATTACTACCTTAAAAAATAAGCAGAAACTCGACGTTTCAAGCGAAGGCCCTTCGTCAAGAGTTAGTAGAAGGGCCTTCGAAGGGCCTTCGCTCGAAACGTCGAGTTTCTGCTTGTTTTTTAAGGTAGTAATATAACCACTCAGCACAGTATCTTGGGAATGGCATGCTGTGCAATTACCATGATAAATGTATATGCCTTGGCACACGCCTCAGCTTATCAAGAAGTACAATTTATTGCATACCTCGATTAAGCTGCAATGCAAACTAGATTTATAAAAACAAAAACTATATATTATATATATTTCAATAAATATTCTGAATATATGACAACACAATAATTACTGGGTATATTCATGACACAATAACATGAGCTAGAAGGTATGCCCCTTTGATTGCCTGTGCTCCGGTTTCCCGAGGTTATCCTCATACAGTATTGCCTTCTAGTGCAATATGTCAAGTGAAAAAAACTTAGTATGGGTCTTTGTCTGTTGTCATTAATAGAGAGCTTAAACGGAAAATCAATGACGTATGTGCTCAGAATAATTTCAGTGCTCAGTAATTTTTCAATGCTCAGTAATTTATACACTTTCAACCAACAATACAAACAGCTCTTTTCAGCAAAAATGATGCCCATTTTCCACCAGGTGAATTTGTTCGTGTGAATAGTTAAAAAAGTAGGAACTAACCCAACTTTTTCACTGTGAATTTTTTCACCAACCAATCACATTTCCAAGATTTGTTTTTCGCTTCACGCAAATTACAAATTCGCCTAGGGAGTGGTCATTATTTATGGGGAGGAGGGGAGTGGTCATTATTTATGGGGAGGAGGGGGTTGGTAAATGGGGAAAATAAGGATTGAAAACTTTTTTGACCCCCCTACCAGACTGAAGAAAACTTTTTGAGCCCCGGCCCTCTCATAAAAGTAGAAACTTTTCTGACTCCCCCTGTGTGGATTGAAAAATTAAAAGCAATGAAACAAGTGTGCATGCAGGTAAAGTTAGATATTAGGACAATCTTTTTATTCTATGATTAAAAAATATATATTATGTGTTACTACTTTGCAATGCAACATTTGTCCTACCATAACCCTAACTGATGGCCCGTCTTCATACAGTGAAATGATTTGAACACAGGGCTTTTTTAAGAACTTGTCTGGGGGTGGCATCTACAAAAAGGGACCATACTATACTGAGTGTGGAGAGATGACAGATGGTTGTTGGTGACAAAAGTTGGTGTGGTATCGTATGTACTATTAGGGGGGTCTGGCGGTATTCTCTGCCAGAAAATGTTTTGTATTTTTCCACCCCTAGAACTGAAATGTGATTATGTGAGCATTTTCTGAAACAGATTTTTGGATATACAGCGTTACATTGTGCTTTGATATAGACCGAATCTGATCAGTTATTATTAAGTATGTTTATGTAAATACCACAACTGTGTCACTCAGGGGGTAGGAAGCTTGTTAAACTTAGTGGGCCTGACTCCCACAAGGCACTACCATGATTGGTGCCGAGCAGGAAAATTTTGAGTCTCTAGATCGTTGGAAATGGCATTTTCAGAGTCTTCTTTACCTCTTTGTCATTATGACTTGTGAGTCTATGCTATTTGTGATTATAGAAACCAGAACTCTATACATGGTATTTAAGTTCAAAAACTTTTTTAACCCCCCCCCTTTCTCTTCCTTTTTTGTTTGCCCCCCACTCCCATTTACCAAACCCCCTCCCCCTCTCCCCATAAATAATGACCACTCCCCTAGTGGAAAATAGACTTATTAAATAAGTAATTTAAGTAAAGTTTTCACATCACAATATAAGCTTTCACCTTGCTTGAAAGATGTGATAATGCTTAGTTTAACATTGGACCACAAATTATTCATAATTTTTGTCTTGCATTCATGAAAATTTCCTTTGACTCTGTTTTGAAAGTGCATTGTTGAGCTGGCTGTAGACCTTAAACTCTCTATTATATTCTCTATTATATTACTTTTTCTTATGTTGCATTCTAAAAAGGACCTCAGAAACATGCAATCACCTTACATGCCAATTCAAGTGGTGTGTTCACTGTCCAGTCACTGGCAGAATATGTTGAAGAACAATTTGGAGTACCTCCTAAGTCCCAGAAGTTGATTCATAAAGGTAGATATAAAGATCGAGCAAAAGACTAGGCACAAGCTAGTAAACTAGCTGTGAAAAGGTATAATGGAAATTTATATATGATGGAAAATGGAATAGATATCACAAACAGAATGGAAAAATTTAAAAAGGACTAGAATTAAACAGAACAGAATAGAATATATGGAACGAAATGTAAATGGAGTAGTTAATTAAGTTAAGTTAATAGTTTAGTAGTTAATTAAGTTAAGTTATTTAAGTCACTTAAATTTTTAGGCAAATCATTGCAAGAGTTTTCAGCCAAATTATCATCGTATGGTATAAAATCAGGCAGCAAAATCATGTTAATTGGGAGTAAGGTACAGTTTAGCGCAACGTCCGTCAGAAATTTAGTTATTTAAAGATCTTTCATAAAATGAGAAGAAACTTTGTGAATGCTTAATTGGTGTTAGTGCACACTTACTGTATTACAATTACACCGTATTGTTATGCAGAAATTTGTGATGTGAACATACCACACAGGAAGATTTTTGGTGTTGTGAGATTTGATCCAGCTTCAAAAAGTCTCAACGCAGAGTGGCGAATTACTAAAGGCCCGTTTATACACTTGCAATTTTTGCTGCGATTCCTAGTGCAATTTCCTCCTTCTGATGCATGTGAACGAGTAGATAAGTTATGAATATTCTGAATGTATCTACCGTCATCTGAACGTTCATAACTTATCCGCTCATTTACATCCATCAAGAAGAAAATTGCACCCAAAATCGCAGCAAAACGGGGGTGTAAACGAGCCCTAAAAGTTAATTCATACAGCATCATCGCCGACGATTTTCTGCGCAATGCCGCCCAGAATACATTTCAGTAGTTTCCTAGCAGCATCAAATTAGGACTACAATAGCACTGCAATTGTAGTCTAGGTAAAGACTCTTTCCGTATGCACATATACGCATGTAAAAGTTTAAATCCATCTTAAATGTTACGGTGGACAAATGGACAATATATTATTTTCTTATGATCAATGTGTATATGTTGAGGTAATTAGTACATACGTAAAATTTAGAAAGATTTAAACTTTCCCATGTGTGTGTGCGTATATCACTATATGTATATAATAAAGCCTTAAGACCGGGCCTCAGAGCACCTGGCACACATATATAAAGACGAACTTAAACCCCAAATCTGTTTCTATTTTCTTACTTAATGTTTACAGTATGCCCTTGATGAAGATCCAAACAATAAACAACTTTCGAAAATAGATGACTCTGTGGATGAACAGCAGAGACAACTTGGAATTCTGCTGAGAGAATTTGATGGTATTAAACAGGTAGTTGTTTAGTGTGGAATATTATTTTAGAGCACTTGTTCAGTGCTGTTTTTGACAACGTGCCAGACTTTGAGACGATAATTTTCGTTGAGATTTTGCATTCAATTGTTCAATTTAGTTTATAATTTTAATATAAATCTTCGGAAAACAATATAAACTTTATATTTACACCTCGAGCACACAAAAGTGAACGTAACCATATGATGTAACGTACACGAACGTACAAAACCTGAGCCCGCGATAAACAACGCGGTTATTAATAAGGATACAGCTAACCCAATATAATGTTATCATTTAAAACGTTAAAACGTTTCTAAACTGTTGAGTGCTATTTACAACATAATTGTACATGGAAATTAAGTAAAAGCTCACATGGTCCTTCGAGCCGGATATATTGCTCGGAGGGCATTTCATCTTTACTTATCTAACATTTATGTATACTATACTTTGTACATTCAGGGTTACTTGGAAGAAAAACTTGCCTTGGAAAGCGTCAACAAGTTGATCAAGAAAACCAAAGGCATTATCGAAGAAAATATGAAGATGATAGAATTCGTTGACAGCCTTGTATGTGAAATTCTTTAATCTTAATGTAAGAATATGGTTTAGAAAAATAAGAACACAATTATTGAATGACTAAAAGTGTAGGTAGGTTTCACTAAGCACTATCATGCATGCAGCACATGCAGGTGGTCAATCAGCTAGATATAGCAACTAGTCGTCGGGATTCTCGGTTTTGCGGATTTCGCCATTTTGCAGGCTCCAACACCCCCATCCTTAGAAACGTAAAATGATATAGCGTGATAACATGATAAGAAGTATATATATATATGCAAAAAAAAGAGAAATACTATTGTCTAATTAAAATTCGATGGTATATAATAGTTGTAAAAGTGTTTATATAATGCACCTCTTCGTCATATTGCAGCTGAAATTCATTTTTTAAAATTTTGACAGGAAATCGGTGTACTGCTCAAAAGAAGAAGAAAAAATCTCGTCATAAAGATGCAGGTACCTCAAATAGAATTTTTTAATACTTTCATAGAAAAATGCCAAGAATTAGCATGATCCTTTGCCCAAGATGTTATGATAAAAGTAATTAGTTGCATTGTTTACAAACATAAATTAAGAAGAATTGGCTTGAAACTTGTCAAAATGATATTTTATCGTATTTTTTCGAGAGATAACTTTTTTTATTATAAGTATTAATGAACTAAAAGTATTGCAGTGGATTTTATATTTCACATTTTACACGTAATGTAGTGCATGCAAGCGCCCAAAGAACTTTGATGGCCTTGAAGCACTGGAAGGAAGACAGATTCTTTATTTTTGCTTGAAAATCACTTGACCCCATGCGAGTGCAAGCTAGTCCAGCCGCCAACTTGTTAGCAGAAAAATATCGACTTGGTGACGTGTCTTAAGATAGAAAAAGAAATTGATTGACACACAATGCTCGTGTGAAAAGATCGTTATAGTCAAGACAAGGCTAAGATCCTCGATAACGCAGGAAAGTCTTGAATCATTGATAACTATTGAAAAGGAAACAATACATTTTAGTTTCGATGCAACTAAAGAATACATCATTTACAAGTTTGGCATGTATTCTAAAGAACTGAGCTCTTTTATTAATACAGTAATACTATTATTGTAAACTTTGTTTAAAACTATCAGGCTTGTTTCATACGTCGAATTTAATTCAGACGAATTTAATTCGTTATTGAATTCGTCAATTGGTCGACATTAAAATGGTTTCCAAACGACGATTTTAATTCAGACGAATTCATTTCATGATTAGCGATCGCATGGATTACCCAGAAATAAAAACCACGGGATCAGAAGACAGAAACTAGCCTCCTCCTCAGGCATCTCACTTGAGGAATCGGGTGGTCTGGAAAAAACATTTTCAAAACCCATTCGCAGGCTAAAACCCATAGAGAGGCCTGCGGAGGAGGCTAGACAGAAACAGGCTTTAACACAATTTATGCATTTAATTAAATGCGACGTCGTATGAAACGAAGACGCTACGGACGTTGTATCCATCTGACCATGACGGATAAAGCGTCTTGGACGAATTTAATTCAGATGAATTTAATTCGTTTCACAAGATGCACTACCGTCGCATTTAATTCATTCAATTAAATTCGACGATAGTGCGACGTATGAAACAGGCCTTAAGGCCGCTTTCCACTTCAACCGTATCGAAACGTAGCGTAGCGTATTTCTTTGTTTCCTGAGCGCTAGAGTGGAACTAATGACTTTAACACAAAAGAAAATTATACGTTACGTTACGATACGGTTGAAGTGGACGATGGCCCTAACCACCGCCCTAACCACCGCCCTAACCACCGCCCTAACCACCGCCCTAACCACCGCCCTAACCACCGCCCTAACCACCGCCCTAACCACCGCCCTAAACACCGCCCTAAACACCGCCCTAACCACCGCGGCCCTAACCACCGCGGCCCTAACCACCGCCCTGGCCTGGGTGCTCAGCTGTTTAAATGCAACCATAATCCTATTTTTAAATCACGATCAAATCTTTGCACGTCACCGCTAATGCTACATATATTTATTCCAGTGTAGTAATAGATCAGCCGGTGATTAACCTCCCTATAACGCAGACGTTGTTTTCGTCTCGTCCGGGGTAGCGAAACACCGCCAACGTTACGGAGGCCACTAATAACAAATGCTATAAATGTCTGCTTGACTCGGCAAATTGTTTTCGGATTTATTCACTACGACCCTGCTCTCATCCTCGTTTGACCAGTGCCGTAGCCAGAATGATAATCGGGGAGGGGGGGGGGGACATACTCATATGTTCGTGTTCACATACCATAAAAACAATTGATTTCAAAAGAAATTAATAAAGCAGAACACGAATATCCAATCCCCCCAAATTATCGTTCTGGCTACGGCACTGCGTTTGACCAGGGCTTATCGCTTAATAGAGCCTCTTATTATATGGCAAGCATCACTTCCGGTGAAATGGCGGACTGTGATTGGCTGAGAAGCACTGTCAGCGGTCCATTATTTTCCCGTAATGGACCGGCGGTCCATATACATATATTTTTTACGTAATGGACCGGCGGTCCATATATATATATATATATATTTTTACGTGATGGACCGGCGGTCCATATATATATATATATATATTTTTACGTGATGGACCGGCGGTCCATATATATATATATATATATATATATATATTACGTTATGGACCGGCGGTCCATTACGTAAAAACAAAGACATTTTAAAACAAAGCAGCAAAACTAATTGAAAATTTGAAAATTATAATTTAACTTGTTATTAATAAGATATCTGCGAATGGTTTTTAGTGGAAAAAAAGGAATACATTGGTTTTTTTTTGTAATTTTCTTCGACCAAATGTGTACCACGCTATTAACATGCATTTCAAATCATGACTTTCTTGTTTTTTCAAGTATAAATGCCTACAAAATGCCATATAGTAAACTTTTTATTAACCTCGCTTGCTCGGTATGTAGCCTACAGAGAAATATCGGACCTCGGTCTTTTTGTACAAACCTCGCCCTACGGGCTCGATCTGTACAAAAAAGACCTCCGTCCGATATTTCTCTGTACTGACCTCGCGTTCGGTTAATAAGAAGTTATTAATAGACCATTAATAGACTCTTGTTTTTTTTCTAGTCGTACATCGACAAAGCAGACAAGTTTATAGAAGCTTTAAATAAATATTCACAAAATGATGGATGATTGATGTCCATTTGTGAACATTTTGTATAGTAAATGTGGAGGATGCTTACAGTTCCTGCCATATAATTGTACAGTAGCAACAGTGACTATCGCTTTATGACTATACTAGAAATAATTACTGATAGGAAGTTATGGAAACTTTGAATATATTTTTGTATACTGTATATAAGGAGAAAATGTTCTCGAGTGAGATATTTCATAATTTCCAGACCGCGCGCAAGCAGAAAACTCTGCCCTCCGTGGCTGCAGGGTCTCGAACCCGCGACCTTCGATCGAATTATATATATATATATATATATATATATATATATATATATATATATATATATATATATATATATATATATATATATATATATATATATATATATATATATATATATATATATATATATATATAATTAAATAATATTATACATTATAGGCTCAGATTCCAGCCGGCTGGAATCTGAACCTATATACATTACTGTTAAGGTTATTAATATTAAGTTTATATTGTTAATTAATATTAAAAATTTACCAGATCCGAGAACTAAATTACGTATCAATAAACATGAAAAATATATGTAATAAATAATAAAACCCCTGCATGAAAGACTATATTAAGAAAATGAATCTAGCTCGAGAAGCATAATAGTTAATAAGCCCCTTTATTATATAGTATAGAGTGAGATACTGAAAAATACACAGTGAGATATTTTCCATATCGGAAAAATCTTCACTAGTGAAGATATCGATCACGTGACTTTTAGTATTTATACAATTTTTTGCTTTGGACTATATAATAAACAGAACATTACACGGTGGCTTGAAGATATGACTTTTATCTTCTCGTGTTAAAAACACTATTTCACTCACTCGCTGCGCTCGTTCGTAAAATATTGTTTTCACCACACGAAGATAAAAGTCATATCTTCGCGCCACCGTGTTTGTTTTTAGTGTGAAGTTTCTGCGAAACTTCACAGTATTGTGATGACTGGGAGGAAATTCAAACTTATCAGTCATTCAGTCAGTCATTCAGTCAGTCAGTCAGTCATACAGTAAACTTTCCGGGGGGTGTATACGATTTATGTTCGTAGTGATTTATTGTGCTTTGTCAGTACTTTGAAGGTTATTTAAGCAATTTCAGTTAACTTATTTACATATTCTGTTATCCTTTTGCCAAGTTCACAAAAATTTCGAGGAATCGCTTTTGTTATTGTATTTTTTTGTAAATTTTAGAACATTCGCTTCTCATGTTGTGTAAAGGATCTTTACCCCGGAACACCCGATTTTTTTAGTAGCGCAAATGCGCATGCGCTATCAAGCCGTAGATCACGATGGCGTGACGATATGCTAGGAAGGAGTGACAGTGTTGTTTTCAGATGTATAAACATTTCAGACGTGAATATTGAGTAAATTTTTGAAAATCTACGCAATATATAAATTGATCTTATGCATTACGGGCGTTCAATTAAGTGTCGATAATATTTAGACGGTACATTCATTATACAGAGCTAGGAAGGAGCTAGACCGCCTAGACAGTGCAGTCAACACTCAAGTGTATATTATATCAGACGTATTAAATATTGAGTCGAAAATCTTTGAGATTCTAGGCATTCAATTGAGTGCTGATATTATTTTCACGGTATACTCATTATACGGAGGTACAGTACGTACGAAGAAGCGAGACAGTGTTGTTTTCAAGTGTATAAACATTTCAGACATGAATATTGAGAAAATCTTTGAGATTCTACGCAATAATATAATATATAAATTGATGTTATAATTACCGGCATTCAATTAAGTGCCAATCGATATTATTTAGACCGTGTATTCATTATACATTGTCATTGACTGTATAAGGTGCTACATCACAGAACTCAGTACAAAGAGCAAAACATTGCATCAGATCTGCATCAGATCAATAAAGCGTAAACAACTATTAAACAGAAGCGGGTGTTTGTACAGGCGTTTACGAAGAAAATATTGCGAGACGAAAGAAATCAGTTGAGTCAGAGCACAAGCGGCCCAATCTCGCAAGGGTCAGTATAGACTTATAGTATAAATGTATATTATATTAATGTATATTATTGTAAAAATATGTCGTAAAATATAAATTCTAAAATGAAATTGACTTGCCTATTTGATAGTGTGTGTTCTCCTTTTATTCCTCCTTTGTTGGACTAATATTTTCCGAGACTTTGTACTCGATGTTACTAGTATACATGAAACATGTCTATTGTAAATAATATAAACTAGAGTACGTTTCAATTAAAAAAAGTTCGAAAGATGCAAAATTTGGGCAATGTTTATATCTGTGGTTCCCCCTTTTTATGAGCAGATTTAAATGCCTGACATGCATGAACTGATATAACCTGATGTACAACATGTAGAACTGCACCAACTGTACAGTAGACAGCACCAGGTCCACGCCAGCATACTTCAATAATTTCAGAAGATATAACCTGGTCATATACATGAAAAACTTTGGATTCTCGAAAAGACGTATTTTAAAATAATATTGTTGATGGCTGCATGGGGAGTATTATTTTAATACCCAATTGGGAAAACTATCAGGGTCACCTGTTTTTGTTATTTTGTTTTTTCATTACTAATCATTGCAACGCATTCACCAGCAGGTGTAGCGGTGCACAATCCTTCATTGCACTGGCAACTGCCTTCATGATCTCGTTGGCCAGTTTTTGCATGTCATTAGACTCCGTATGTGTCCAGCAAATTCACCCGAAAATCACAGAACTGCTTTATTCACGCCACAGGACTTGACAAGGTTTTGTACAGGGCGGCCGAGAGGTTGCGCGGGGCCTGGGGCAAGACTTTCCCAGGTGCCCCTATGACGTCATAATTGTAAAACAACAGAAGCGGTGTTTTAAAATATAATGAATTACAGAACTATTTAAAAAGTGGGTTTCGATTCACGAACCGTAAAGAGAATTTCAGGTATTTGCTCATAGCCATATCAGAATATTAGCGTCTTGTGGATGCAATATACAACAATACTATATTTGACAAACCACGTGGCAAACGCTTTAATTAACCATGTAATAATACAACGGCCTAGCAGTCATGATTTCGAGTGCAATTTGGAAAAAGCTTCGGAGAGACATAGAATGCGACTTTTTCGAACTCGAAGAATATCAATTTAAAAATGGTTTTCAAATCGCAAAAGATAGTTCATGGTAATGATGCTATTATCCTTTTATATTGATAAAATAGCTACAAGTTACAATGTTTAGAAAAGGGAAGCACCAGTTCAACGCAAGGGGCCATTAGTACCCAGTCCTAAGGGCATCTTTCTACATTCCAACCTCTAGTCTCTAGCCGTTTCGGGCCTGGGACCGAGGTTGTTCAGGGCCCTGATACACGACACCGGATTCGCTTTTTACGACATCTAATTTAACAGTTTCAGGAATCAACCTCCTCCAGTTTGTCATCTTTCGAAGGTTTCTTCGCTTCACACCTCAAAACTCGGGAAGATTGAGATGTGGCACCTTGACCAGATGGAGGAACAATTAACGAGCGCTCGAGCTAATTGAAAGCATCGGCATCCCCAACACGACTTGATCACTTTCTTTTAGTTTCCGCAGTCGAGGAACCCAGTATTCTTCACGGTCACGAGCCATGGGGAGACATATCACACCTTGTATCGTATGGCAGTGCTCGCGTTGGACTGACTAATTCTCTGTAAAGGAGCTCGCATCCGGCAAGTACACAGGATAATGACCTTGAATTCAACCACGGCATTCAAGTATCCCACTTGCGTTGGTTTAAGATTCAGTTGAAGTTTGGCATTGGGAAACTTCGAGGAGGTTTCGGCACGGGACTGAGCTCGTCGTATTCACGTACACTCCATCTGCGATTCTAGCTCAACTGACCTAAGAGGACCACTAGCAACTGGAGTACCACGACATTTGTCTAGAAATCTCTTCATCCGCGCACAAACTCTTAACTTCTTCAGGCTGCCTCGCTCGAGTAGATCATCAAATTCATCCCTTTCACTCACCGTCACGTTTGCAATCACTTCACGAATTTGTTTGCTCTCTGCTGCCGACTCTGGTCTTGGTTCCGTAACAGGATTTGTGGGCCACATTTTAGGATTGGACAACCACGACGGTCCGTTCCACCATGCCGGATCGTGGTCAACCACCGAGCCACCACGACTTGCTAAATCTATGAGGATTCTCTCCTGAAGGAACATGTCTCCACGACTCCACGCATCGATGAGGCTGGATGGAGGGAATTGTTGCTTGGTATAGGATTGGTCAGCGTCACTTTGTGAGGAAAGTTGGTTCGATTCAAGTTCAGGAGCGTTCGAATTCTACTTTTGGAGCTGAAACAAAGCATCTTCAAAGATGGTAAAAATGACCAATCTTTCCAATCACCCGAAACATGCGCGGACTAACTCGGCTTTTAAAATCTCTAATTTCTTAATTATGATGTAAAAGGAAGCGGTATCACAGTATCACTGACGTCACGGGCAAATAAATGTATGCTAATGCGGGAATTATAACCATATGTTTCCAGTTTCAAGTGGATGTTTCGCAATCATATTAGCCTGTTTAGTGGTTATATTAAGCTGATCATAGTGCAGTTCTGCTTCTGGTATTGCTGGTGTGAATTTCTGGTAAGTTTCTTCACATTTTTAGACTACGTTCACACGAGATACGACAAAGTCGTTACGCAAGTAATTGCAAATTTGTCTGGTTCCATTTGATGATGTCGTTGATGTCGTGATCTCGTTGATCAATGATCAATGAGGGCCCTGAAGGGGTAAAATGGGAACTGGGATTGATCTATTTTTGGACTGGGAAAATGGGATTTGGGTTGCTGGGACAGGGATTTGGCCACTGGGAATGGGAAATGAAGTCCTCAAAAATGGGAATGGGATTGAGGTAATGCGAGTCGATTCCCAATTTTTCTGCGTTTTGAGTATTTTAAAATACAATTTTGATCCGTTTTTGGTGTCTTTGGTCATGATTTTTGTTGTTACTCTATATTATTCACAGCACTACCTGCGAACAGGCATACTCTGGCGCCCGGAATTCTGGGTTTTCTGATTATGCGTGTCTCAGAGTGCTGCAAATGCCATTTCCGGGTTCAAATTTAAAACGAGCCCCCCCCCCTCCCCCCCCTAATATTTCATAAAGTGTCCGCCACTTGCTTAAAAGGTCTTAAAACTGTTTATTCCACCGATAAATAAAAGGGTTTTTTATTGACTGGGATTTCAGTAACTGGGACTGGGATTTCTAATAAAAATCCAACTGGGACTGGGATTTTGCCAAAATTTCAGGTGGGAAATGGGATTGGGACCCCCCCTTCGGCCCTTCAGGACCCTCATCAATGATATGCCGGCGGCATGCACTAGTGATGGGCGATTACCGATTACTTGGTATCGATACCACCCGATACCAGGCCCAAACAGGTAGTAGTCGATACTGCACGGTATCGAAAAAGTGTTTCGATTACTTTTAAAATTAGGCATTCATTATAATCCTGCAGTTGTGTCATCATTTTCATGGTTATTTCTAATAACATTTATGTACTTTTTGGTATTTTGCTGCATTTATCAATTTAATCAAACTTCCTTTATACTTTATTTGACATTCTATTCTCGCCGACAGAATAAATTATGAAAAAGGCGGGAAATAAAGTAATTTTTGTTTTTTTTATGGATTAAAATGTTGGATCAAATCGTTACTGTTAAAAATATGTAACTTTTTGAAAATGGAGGAAGTAATCGTTTGGGTAATTGATACCTCGATACTTTAACCAAAAAGTAATCGGTATCGTATCGAAACCGATACTAGTGGTATCGCCCATCACTAGCATGCACAATAGACGTTCGTTCGACCACTGTGAAGTACGCATGAGATTCAGCATGACATTCGATATGGTGTGAACTCACTCATTTTAATCACTCTGAAGTACAAATGAAAATATAGCCATTTCTTCTCTTCCAAATAAATTACAAAAAAAGAAATCATACAGTTCTTATTAACTACTTTTAAGTAGTTAAAATACCTTAAAGTTTTATTGCACACAAACCAACAAACGCGCCTCAAAGCAGTGCAAAAAGACATTTTCTTAACTAAAAAACTGTCAAGAATTGGTTTTTAAATTATAAATTCCAAGACGCTATTCTATAGAATTCTCTTAAACTTTCATATGTTGTAAAAAATTGTATGCTCTTTGAATTGGTTACTTAACGTAAGTGGAAATGAACGAAAATCTCACTCAAATTGGACTGTATTACGTGCGTCATATATTAAGCCAATTATATATGGGCTGTGAGGAACTAGCGGTTAAGTTGTCCGCTTGCACCACTTACTTCTAAGTAACCAATATGAAAGAGCATATAATTTTATACAAAATATGAAATTTTAAGAAAATCCTATAGAATAGCGGAGATGGTTTAAAAGGCAATTTTTGATGGTGCACATATAATTGACTTTGTATATATCAGGTTTAATTACAACGTATGACGCGTGCCAAATAGTCCAGTTTGAGTGGGATTTTCGTTCATTTGTAGGCTTGTACCACTTACGTGTAAGTAACCAATTGAAACAGCATATAATTTTATACAATAAATGAAATTTTAATAAACCCTATAGAATAACGGGCGAGATTTTTACAACTTAACTGGAACCACTTCCGTACGTTTGTCGTTTCTCAAAAATGATTAGATTTACAATTAGGGACCGCTCATTATTTATTGTACAAGGGGGGGGGGGACTGAGGAGAAACTCTACAGTTATAATATTTTTTCGCTGCCCCCCAATAAGACGAGTAGAATTTTCAAAGCCCCCTCCAACAGGCAAAGCAAGAACATAAATTTTGGTCCCCCCCCCCTGACTCTAGCTTTTTATTTAGAGAAACAAAAATTGATAATAGACAATTCCCATTATAGACTAATTTTTATCTTAGCAAAAAAATTATATTCTCGGAAAGAGCATACTAAAATTAGTAAAATTGAAAAATTTGGTTATGAAATGTTGTAAAATGTGGAAAATATAGCCTTCCAAAGTTTGCAAATTTTGTATACTTTTGTATTGACTGTATTGCGTGCGGCCGGTAGCAATTTCCGCATGCAATAGTATACCAAATTTGCAAACTTTGCAAGGCTATATTTCCCATATTTTAAAACATTTTGCAACCAAACTTTGCAATTTTACTCATTTTAGTAAGCTCTTTCTAGTTGTGGTGATTCATGTGCATCTCTTTGCCTAGTTTTAAAATTAGTCTGTAATGGGAATTGTCTATTTGCATGAACATAAGAAACTATTTATTTTTTTTATTTTTTTAAATTTATTTCGCTTCCATTTATGATATTAATATTAAAGGTCTATAAACATTGTTATTTGTTGTTAAGTTGTTTTGTGATACATTTTTAAAATTACTAATGTTTTTTCAAACTGGTAAATATTTTCGAAGCCCCCCTTCTTTCGTCTCTCTGTATTTTTTTAAAGCCCCCCCTTCAGGTTTAAAAAAATTTAAAGGCGCCCCCCAGTTTCTCCTCAATCTCCTCCTGTACAATAAATAATGAGCGGTCCCTTACTTGTTAGGCAAATGTCTTTTTGTACTGATTGCAGTGCTTTTGAGCACGTTTGTTGGTTTTTGTAAAATAAAACTTTAAGGAATTAAGTAGTTAATAAGAACTGTATGATTTCTTTAATTCTTTTTTTGTAATTTATTTGGAAGAGAAGAAATGGTTATATTTTTCATTTTTACTTCTGAGTGATTGAAATTAGTGAGTTCACATCAGATTGAATGTCATGTTGAAATTGAATCTCATGCGTACTCCCCAGTGGTCCGTTGTGTGGTGTCAGTGGTGTGTGTATAAGGGCCTGATTACATGGAGAGTTTTCATCCCGGGCTGAGTTTCAGCCCGGTTAAACGAGCTGAAATTTCATCACGATTACATGAGCAGTTTCAACCCGGGCTGAGTTTAGTCAGAGCTATATTTATCATCAACCCGTGCTGAAATGTCAGCCCGGGCTGAAATAATCTGAGTGTCACGAAATAGGTCAATAAGCGTGTTACGCTTCTTTGAAGCAATCAGACACTGATTAGTCCAGTATTTGACTTGTGTGAGACTGTGGTGATATGTAAAGTATTTAAAAATTAAACAAACACGCAAAATAAAGCCATTTAAACGGTTGTTTTTTAGGCCGGGCTGAAATTATTTGCGATTACATGCATGCCGAGCTGAGTTTCAGCCCGGGCTGAAATTTCAACCCGGGTAGCTCAAACCGGGCTGAAATTTCAGCCCGGGCTGAAACTCAGCCCGGGCTGGAATTTTGGTCATGTAATCGCTTGCTGTGTTTTACTAGGAAAAGCCCGGGAAACCGGGCTGAAACTCAGCCCGGGCTGAAAACTCTCCATGTAATCAGCCCCTAAGTGTATTTGAATGTAATAATTTAATTTTAATACATTTTCATTCGTTGTGATCAAGAGCGAAAATCTATTGAATTTCAATTTTATAGGGACGAATATAGGTATATAATTATCCATATCTATAATCTATATAATATATATTCCTCAGTTCCGAAATATCACATACTTGTACCGACCTGACCGCGTAGCTCAGTTGGCAGAGCATTGGGCTAGTATTCCAAAGGTCGTAGGTTCGATTCCCACCGTGACCAGGCATATTTTTCAAGCTTGCCCGGTGTGGATACACACTCAGAGTAACATCACAACATCAAAGTTTAATAAATAAATAAAAACTGGCGCTCTGGCAAAATTAGAAAACTGGCGCTCTGGCAAAACTAGCAAACTGGTAGTAAAACTGGCGCACTGGTAAAACTGGCGCTCTGGCAAATAGGCGCTCCGGCAGATGGATAAAAACCAAAAACGTAGATCCTTTTGGCGTATGGACGGTATGGTATTCAGAGTGGTTAGATGACGTAAGACATAGTTGGTATAATTACGATATATTATTTACAACCAGAATATAATTACTAGTATATTATTTGTGACGTAGTCTGTGCTTTGCTACACGGCTTAATAACTATGGTTTGTTCCAGATTACTAAGTTTGCTATGTGCACGGAAGATATACTGTACCCATTTTTAGCTGATGTACGCATTTTTTGAGAATTGGCATCATGTGCATACTATGTGTCCTCACTTTAATGTACATAAAAATAGAGGAATTCCAAACTAGTGAAGCACATTTTTCTCCCCACGTATCACTTCATGACAACAAATCCAACTCTTTCCGCTTACCTGCTTGTATGCGCATTTTGTTTCGTATCTGACGTGTATGTGCGCATATTTTTCCAAAAGAAAATATATTCTGTGTGCAGTTAACAAAGATAGCAGTCTGGGTTTGTTGATATAATGCAAATTTGATAGAGCTTTTTTATATACAGTACATATACACAAAATTATATGTAATAGCAAGGAAGAGTCTGGGAACAAGGTTGAATTAATATTGTAGTTGTTATGTAGGTGTTTTGTCTTATACTAACATTAAAGATGTTTGGTAATAATATCATCGTTCAAAACGGCAAAAACTATTCCTTGTTTGCAATGACGTAATTTTTGGATTTCAGTTTAAGGGCAAGTAAAACGGCTATTTTAATGTATTGATCGAGTTTATAGATTCAAAAGATGAATTACCGTTCAGTTTTTCTTGCTACAGCCATTCTGATAGGAGAAAAATCGTCCACAAGTTGTTTGATTGCTCGTCATTTGGATGAAAAGGCACGTGATTGCAAACAAAGAATTAAGTACCGTTGAAAATAAAGACGGAGACGGAAGAAAAGCACATATATGAACTGTTTCGGAGATGATAGCGACTGTCTTTTCATGACACCCCCGTATTACAATAAGCATTTCTTTATTTTGTAAAAGGAAAGTATAACTTACTAAGCAATGCCAATGAATGACAATGAGGATTGAAATACTGGGCAATAAGGCAATTGCATGGCAATTTGCCCAAACAAAAAGGTCGATCACAACCCCTGCTTCCCCCGGGTCGGACATGCCCATTGCTCAAGTAATATCAACTTGTATAGTCAATTCCCAGCTGAATGTTAGTCTGCATGCTGAATGTTAGTCTGTTAGTCTATGGCGAATCTGGTAAAATAGATAATATGCAATCAAACAAAAATAAATACTGTTATAATAGATAAAATGAGCAGCCAGTAAAATTGTAAAAGCATCATCAAAAATGCTCATAAGTGATTAATAAGTATCTTGCGTATCCAACAGCTCACTCTCAATTTCATTAGATTATAGAGTCGTTGTCTGACAGCAAATCAACAAGCTGTGTGTGACATGGAATTTCCGAAAAATGAAGAGTCAAAAATTGTGAAGAATATATTCCTGTGGTCTGCACCGCGATGTTTGACTACAGCATTTTCATGTGCAATAATGAATCTCAAAGGTGGAAAATGTCTGGCCGAGTCGTACGCAGATGCATATCATTTCGGATCACAGAGGAAAAGTGATCGTTACCCGAACGATCCAGTTAAGCCTAATGCTACTTTTGAAGAAGTAAGTAAAGGTCTTGCAGAATATGAGGGTGAGAATTTCATTTTCTGCAAAGAAATAGCTTATCATTTGGAATCGAAGGTTATTTTGATGTGCTACGCCAGCAAGGTCTTAGAGAATATAAACATTCATTCTTGATCAGAAATCCTAATAAATCTATCCCTTCTCTCTATCGTGTTGCAACTAACACCGAAGTGTCAGGTTGGGACCATTTTAACCCAGTCGAAGCTGGTTTTCGTCAATTGCTCGAGTTGTATGAGTTTGTTGTGAAAGAGTTTGATAGCTCTCCAGTTATTATTGATGCTGATGATCTCCTGGAATCTCCTGAAGAAATGATGAAAAAATATTGTGAAGCAACTGGTCTAATTTATGAAGAGAATATGACAACATGGGAAATAGGTTCTGCACCGGAGTTGGGTGCAGCCTCTTCGTTTAACGGATGGCGTGAAGTTGTCATCAGAAGTACTGGCCTTGGTAAGGTGCCGAAAAAGAGAACCGAAGATCACCCAATTAAAGCAAGTGATGAAAAAGAAGTTAATGATTCAATCAATGATAGCTTGCGATATTACAAGGTTTTATACGAGAAAAGATTAAAATTGCCATCAAAACAGACAAAAGCCCAATCATAAATGTAACCCAATAAATTGAATTCAGAGATATATTCAAACAAACTATAGTCATAGTAGTGGGATTTTAAAAAGTTATACCGATATAGATATACAGTAGATATATGATGGAATGACCACCGTCAAACGTTGCAAAATTTGATAATCCGATGCTCGATCTGTGGTTATTATTCATTCATGATGGTTTACATAATGATTTTAGCACGAGGTAGCAGAAACATTTATGAATTAACAATAATTAAAAGTAGATTTTAATCATTTTTAAAAGTAGCTTATATAGTCTTACGTGGTCGTTGGTTAAGGTCTGATCAAACGAAGGTGAGAGTTACAAGGGCAGTTCAAGGTTTAACGAGTGTTCTAGCTACGTCTTAACTTAAATAGGATGCATGATAGTATTGGGAAATCATTAAGAACAGCCAAGGTCTCGTGACTGCCAACTCTCATGCACTCTCATCCTCCGGTTTTATCCGAGCTTTACTTCCATCACATGACTTGACGTACATCATTGATTTATCCTACTGTAGTAGTGTAGTAAACTGCAAAAAATCAATGAATATGTTTACCCAAAAACTTGAGTAAAATAATGCACCCACATGCAGGCAGGGACGTCGTTATGGGGGGAGGGGGGTGGTGTTTAAAAAAGTTGGTCAAAATGGAAACATTTGGTCAAAATAGTAATCTGTTCTAACTGCCCTCATACTCCCATTGGCTTACAGTTAGATAGTTTTGGGAAATGCGAGCCCGTAAGCCGAGGAGCGAGGGAGTAAACGTTCCTTGGGGAGGGGACGTGTGGGGAAAAGCGCTAAAACAGAATCTGTGACACAATGTTGCTGCTTCCTACCTATATATACACACATGTATACACAGCTATGTCTTTCCGTCTAACACACACGGGCGCCGCGTTTAACAAACTGACCCTGAACTATTGAGATCCCCTTGTTTTATAGCCAATGTCGAATAGTAATCTATTCTAAGGGGCCGATTGCATGGAGCATTTTCAACCCCGTGGTTGAACTCAGCCCTGTTAACCGTGTTGAAATGTTTTGCGATTACATGGACGATTTCAACCCCGGGGTTAAAACGTTATACTATACGTTCTCGGCATCGATTGGCGGAAGTAAAAAAGCCTTTACTTTGTTTTCTTGTAATAAATAGTCACTACCACGCATGCTCGAATAACTCATTATAATTTCAGCCCTGGGTTGAAACGATTACATGACAAAATTTTCAAGCCAGGGCTGAGTTCAACCCCGGGGTTGAAATTTCAACCCTGCTAGCTGAAGCGAGGTTGAACCGGTACCGTGGGGTTGAACTCAGCCCTGGCTTGAAAATTTTGTCATGTAATCGCGCGTTTGATTTTGATAGAGTTTTGTATTACAGACAGGGCTGAAATTTCAACCCGATAAACAGGGCTGAGTTCAACCCCGGGGTTGAAAATGCTCCATGTAATCGGCCCCTAACTGCCCTCATGCTCCCATTGGCTTACAGGTAGATAGTTTTGGGAAATGCGAGCCCTGGCGCCGGATAAGATCTCCTACCTTCCCAACTGGGTAACATTAGCCCTATCCTACCCTTCATCCTAACATTACCCGAAACTTATTCCCAAAACTCACCCAAAACTTACCCCATATCCCATATCTGCTTTTCCCCGAAACTAAGCAATCATCGGTGCATGGCAAATAAGTGAAAGAAAATGCAAAACATTATGACATTTTGACAAAGACAATGCCATGCAAGCCTCTATAGATATACACTAGAGTGCGGATATCGAATGTCGAGTATGCACTCCATATTTCCATTCTGGATAACAAAAGCAAAGAAACAAGTTCAAACTGAAGGATCTATTTGAGGGATATTGGATAGGAACAGGGTGGAATCATAATCGTGATCTGCGATTCAAATGTTGCATGCATAATAATAAACTATAAACGAACAAGCTTATATATATACGAATAAAATGATGAAATACCATTACACGGCACGATATGTGTGTCGTTTCGTGAAATAAACTACTTGTTTCGTAAATAAAATTCCTTAAATTTTCACAGTGAACTGTGAAAAGTGAGCACAATGCGACACAACTAGAGAGACAGATACGGTTGCAATTATAGTCAAAATGTGAGAACTGCTAAAAATGATAGGTCCATTGACCCAGAAAATGATATGTCCATTGGCCTATGTCCATTGGCCTATGTCCATTGGCCTATGTCCATTGACCCAGCGACTTAACGATCGATAGAGCATCATGTTTGAACGTAAACTGACACACATTAAAACCTGTCCGCTTCTGCATGGCCAATTCGTTACGTTAGACGTTTTAAAGATCATACGTTATAAAGATCGTATGCTCTGGATCGACAATACGGGTAGGCGAACCCTAGCTCCACGTAAACCATTGTCGTTGAGCATTCAGTGTCGGGTGGCTGTACCGCAGGTCGACATACGGTAGGTACGACTGGAAACTGATAGCACGACATCCGTAGGGATCGCCTACCCCATTGTCGGTCCCAGGCAGCCCCTAGAGGCATAAAAGGCATTAGACGCCCGCACCCGGTTCCAACAATGGTTGGGCGAAGGTATAAGGTGAAAAACTGATCGTAATGAAACATAGGAAGGATATGACATCAAGTCACGGTATAACAACATGCGGGATCGTCTAACTATGCAAGACAACTTCTCACACTGAGTCCTTTGATTCATAACGCATGACTTCTCGGCCTCTACCGAGTTATGTGAGCCGTGAAACATACTTGGCCACTACCAAATAAGTTTAAGTTGAAAGAAACAAAACATAACAGCTCAGGCACCACCGAGGAATTTGATTTAAAGACGTACTCGCTCGGCCGCTACCGAGGGCGAAATTGATTTGTTAAATCCCTGGCCGGCCTCCACCGTACCGAGTATTTAAATTGTAAACACTAACTGCGTCCCCATGAGGGTAAGTTGTATGGTAATTACATATTGGTAGATAGGAATTGATTAGTGAAATATTATTTTTGGCAAGAAGACGTACGGTGCGAATTGACGACCACGCGTGTCCACGTGAGTTGATACACAAATGTGTATAGCGAGGCTATTGGAAGAATAAATTTTATGTTATGCTATGCTATGTCATGTTATGAGTAAGTCTATGCAAATTGAAGGATGAATGGCCTTCCATATTCAAAGAGGCGTAAGCTAAAATGTAAAGGGTATAAACTGAATTTAAATATTGGTCTCAACCAAAACATCGCGTTTCGTTCTCCGTCGAACTCGATCAGTTACAACTCCATATAGAGTCCAAACTAATATATTTGTATGATATCTTCGAGTCTGGCCTCAACCAGGCTGGTGTAACCACCATGTGTGCTGAAATCGCCACAGAAAGTCGCAATTTAATACCGACAAGGTTACGCATGTAACCTCCGAGCAGTGCTGTTTAAGTAACTTCGTTACAAGTAACGAAATTACAAGTAATCGTTACTTTTTGAGTAACTGTTACGGTAACTAGTTACCTTTAAAAATAAGGTAACTGTAACTGTAACGAGTTACATTTTGGCCTAAAATGAAACGATAACGCGTTACTTTTATAGCCAACGTTTACGTTACTTTTTTCGTTACATTCTTGCGGTTAAAACTTACAATTACCTCTCAGTTCTCGAAATTCTCCTCACGGTTTTCTACGACAACGCATGCTTCAGTGCTTAACACAGCTGAGAGATCCATTAGTGGTAAGGTTACATAACGTTTACAAATAATTAACGTCAATCTGCTGAACACTAATCATTAAGTTGAAAAAAACTGTGTATTTTTTTACTTGAAGTAACTTGTAACTAGTTACAAAAATATTGAAGTAATTTTGTAACGGCAACTAGTTACATTTTTCTAAGTGTAACTTTTACCAGTAACTAGTTCCTTTTTTGGGAATGTAACTGTAACTGTAACTAGTTCCAAATAATGAGTAACTTTTACAGCACTGCCTCCGAGCCAGGTTATTAGAAACGAATGAAGCAAAACGTCGCGTTACAATGACTTGCTTATATCCTTTCCCATGAGCAGGACAACTCATTTCAGTCTAAGTTATATATTCAACATATTCGTTCCGAACGGAATACGTATACGGACGTTACGAAGCCAGTACAAAAAGTACCAAATTGTTCGGCACCAACCGACGAACAACAAAATTGCGAATTACTGAATTGGGCATTGAACAAATACATTACCAAATACTTCGTCGGCTTCGCTTTGTTTCGCGGCGCATGGCTTCTGCTTGACGTTGTTTTCGGCACTTCGTCGTGTCCGAGACGACTGGATTTCCAACTTGATCATTTTGGATCATCTTTAGACGTGAGCTTCACCATAGAGCCATGACTGACCTACTTACTGTATGGGCAGAGCGTTTAACAAACTGACCCTGAACTATTGCGATTCCCCTTGTTTTATAGCCAATGTTACGCATGATTGCACTTCGAATAGTTGGTCACTTTTTAAGCGAAATTAGAAAAGATAAAAAAGTGCGAATGTATCGAAAACCAAATAACGTATTGTTTATTGAGCAACACAGCACGAATTAACAGGTAATTCGGCCGTGGATCTGACAGGAGACGGAGAAGAACTGACAAGACGGACCGAAAATGACTTTACTTGCTAACAACTTTACGCCTGGTTATAACAAAGAGAGTCACGGAATAGTCCATTGACATAACAAATGCATCCGTCCCAATCTCGTACCCAGAGCAATGCCTGTGCGCGGGCTAGGATGGCATTGGCTCTGGGGAAATCGACAACCGGAACCCCTAAATTTAGGGGTTCCGGTTCTTTGCCGGCATGCACGATTGATAAACGTTAAACCAATCACAGCACAGGAAAAATTCAATTTCCCCAGAGCCAATGCCATCCTAGCCCGCGCACAGGCATTGCTCTGGGTACGAGATTGCATCCGTCCAAAAACCAGCCTCGTACCCAGGCTCTTTAGTAATTAATAGCGTTCTGAGCAGAACCTGAGCAGAGCAAAGCAGAGCTCA